ACTGAAATGGAAGTTCAGCTTACGGTAATAATGCATTAGTTCAGCTAGCCATGACGCCTGTTATAGGGCAATAAATTTTTTTTTATTTTCCTTTTTAAAAGATATCTGCCGGTAACCTACACATGACCTTGAGCTGATCAATTTTCAAAAATGACAGTGCGGGGAGGGCGTGTAAGGAGAGAGAAGTGGAGAGCCTTTTCCAAATAGCCTGACCTCAGGCAACTGTCAGCAAATACCTGTCATCTCAGAGCCAGAAGGAGGAAAGGAACGCAAATATATATTGCATAAGGACCAGACCTTAAAATACCTTTACTTTTTTGTTTTTGAGAGGGGGGGGGAAGAAAGAGGGAGAGGGATAAAAACATCTATGTGAGCGTGAAGCATCCAACACCCATCGGCTGCCCCCTGCAAGGTCCCCCTACCAGGGAGGCAGGAGTCACCCCTGTTGAGGACACTCATCATTTTGCAGGAGCCTGGAGCCTTGTAAAATGAAAGCCGGCCAGTGGTTTTGTCTCCATCCCTACAGATGTTGTGTTTCTGGAGCAGGACCCGTTTGCTGTCTCAGAAGTCTACGATTCTGCTCACGGCCATTGGCTGACTAATGTCTCCGAAAAGCAGCAAGCAAGTTCCTGAATCATGATTGTCTTTGAAAAACCCTGATCAACACTTTTTTTTACGTTAAGAAAGTCTGCTTTGATTAAAGCCATTAGAGCCCGGAGCAAATAAAATGTGTCTGAGTTTTACATGTCTCGCATTTTAACGCAGGAGCCCCGCTGAAACTTGCCTTTTAATTCTCACACCACGAAGGCACGCCATGCGTACGGGCCTGACAAGTTAAGGTTCACCTCCTCCACCACCTGGTTGGGGTTCTACAAAAATCCTGTGGCCGGAGACGCGGTCGAGTTATACTTTTACTGATTTATATCCTCTACTTGGCTGAAGGAATATTTTACTTTGTTTCTATACTCCCATTGCTGCAAAAAATTATTTTAAAAGTGATGTGTTGGGGGTTGGCTCCCAGGATAAGAGTGAACCTGGAAACCGCCAAATCAGCTCGCTTTTCTATACACGAAACTAAAAAGATTGCACAGTAAACATGCAAGACAGAGGCGATGTTCAATCACCGAAAATGGACGACAGAGGAGGCTTGACAACTATTTTCTGTTGATTCACCAGAATTTGCAGGCTCTTCTCCACTTAACTGTGTTTGCAGGGCTCAGGATTTGCATTCTTGGAGTGGTCACTTTCCGATTTTTTTATGTGAAACCATCCGGTCCCTCTATGTTAATGCATTTCAGGGTAACAGTGCTTGAAAGGTAAGATGCTTTGAGCGTCTGTTTAGTCTGGTTGGAACAGTGGAGTAGGTATTTCTTTCCACTCGCAGATTTTTTTGGCTTTGCCCTTGATTACACTCCCTGGTAGAGCATTTTTCTTTGATCTCTCGTTTACCAGTCTCCCTAGCTCTGTGGACAGGTCTCAGTTTCTTTTCTTCAGCTTCCTTTCTCTCCTCCACGCCCCTAAACATTTCCATCCTTGTCAGGCTTTTAGCTTTGCCTGTCTCTCCTCTTCCCATGTGCCCGAGTCACCCTGTTGGTACTGCACTGGATATCACACAGGCCGGAGCAGGCACAGGGCGGATGTTATTGTACTGGCTTCACAGAGAAGCACAAACAGGGCTACAGCTAATGACAATGTCTTATGGTGGATAATGGCCTGTGTATGTTGGTAGCCAGGACGCACAACACGTGCTTTGTACATACAGACATCTCATGTATCAACTCTCTCTTATTGTCTGTTGGCATAGATCTGTCAGATATTCTTAGATCGATAGATAATATTCCATCGACCCCATTGTGTTTATTTCTACCCACTGACTTATTGAATGGAAGCCCTCAAGCTTGGTTGGGGCTATTAGTACACCAGAAACGTCCCATACCCCTCGGGGGCTAACGTAGGCTTTTCCATATTCTTTTCCCCACGAACACCATGTTGACATCCTAAATACGTGAATAAAGAAACATTAGCTTGAGAACAGAGTTGTCGCTGTAGGCTTTGTTTATCCCTGTGCTGGACGGATGCACACCAAGTGGTGGATTCTCTTTGTTTGGGGTATAAAGAGCTGTAAATGTGGGTGTGCATGGTATCCGTGTGTCTGTCCCTTCTTTGCAGAGCAGTTTTAAATCGTTACACAGCGTAGCTGCATTTTAATTTCTGATGGAAGAAGTCCGGTAAGTTCATTGCCTCCAGGCGAAGGAGGCAGAGGGGGAGGGAAGCACAGGGAGAGCCCAGCAGACCCTTGCTTCTGGCTCTCCCATCTCCTGGAGGCCTCTGGGGGCCCGAGGCATGCATGTGTGGCCCAACACATGCTATTTTGCAAGTCAGTGGACCATGCTCTGAGAAGGGCTGAGTGATGGGATAATTAGAACCAAGCAGACAGCGGGGTGGATGGTGTGTCTGCAGATAATAGCTTGTTTGCTAATTGCCAACACCAGATTTTTCTGGGCAATTAGACATTTGGTTTCTTCCAAGACCTTCTGTGCAAATGTGGACACATGGCCGGAGGCCTTCCAGGTAGCAGGTGGAAAAGGTGGCTTCTGTGCAGGACGGCATCTCTCTGCTGCTGCCCGAGGGGCCATGGGCAGGGCAGACGTCTTGCCAACTGGTAGAAAGAACCAACTGGCTGGGCCCCCAGGGGAGAGGCCGGGCCCCCAGGGGAGAGGCCGGTTCCCCTGCTTTTGTAGAAGTGGACGCTCTTGTGCCCAGAGGCCAGCAGAGAAGGTGGCGTTTATCAGGCTGGTCCGGGAGCCTGGCTCGCATCTCCGTTCTCCTTTCAAGAGCACCGACGTGTGGACACTGACAGGAGTCGAAAATTGCTTCCCCTCTCAGGTGTGCAAGTCGATTTTGTAAAATAAAAAATATTTATTGTGGTAAAGTATATAAATAGAATGCAAAATTTGCCATTTTAACCATTTTTAAGTGAACACATCAGTGGAATTAATTGCAGTCAGTATTGTGCAACCATCACCACAATCTATTTCCAGAACTTTTTCATCACCCCAAACAGAAACTCTGCACACACTGTTCCTCCCTCCCCCCAGCCCCTGGTAACCTCTAATCTCCTTTCTGTCTCCGTGAATTTGCCTATTCTAGATACGTTGTAGAAGTGGAATCATACAATCTTTCCCCCTTTGTGTCTAGCTTATTTCCCTCAGCATAATGTGTTCTAGATTCATCCATGTTATGACATGTATGAGGATTTTATCCCTTTTTATTGCTGACTAATATTGCATTGTGTGGGTATACCACATTTTGTTTATCCATTCATCTGTTGATGGATACGGGGTTGTTTCTACTTTTTGCCTATTGTGAATGCAAGTGACATTCACATACAAGTGTTTGTTTGGATCCTTGTTTTGGGGTAGATGCCCAGGAGCGGAATTGCGGCGTCATGTGGTAATTCTGTATTTGACTTTTTGAGGAGGCACCAAACTTCCCCAGTGGCTGTGCCCCTTTTGCTTTCCCACCAGGTATCTACAAGGGTCCCACTTTGTCCATGTCACTTCTATTCCCTTTTCATTATAACCACGCCAGTGGGTGTGACACATATCTCCCTGTGGTTTTGATTTGCGTTTTTCTAATGACTGCCGACGTTAGATGTCATTTCACGTGCTTATTGACCGTATATCTGCTTTGGAGAAATGTCCGTTAGGGGCCTTTGCCTGGGTAGTTTTGTTTTTGCCGCTGCACCTGTCTCCCCGAGGCTGGACTTGAGTGTCATCAGGAGAGGACCGTCCCCTGCAGAGGGAGGTGGCTGTGCAGATGGGAGGCTGCACTTGCCTCTTCCACAGCCCGCGTGGCGCCCACTGTCACGATGCTGAGTTCTCACGGTGCAGGGAGAAGCAGCAGCGAGCGCGCGGATTCGCTGGCAACTGGCAGCAGAGGCCGAGGCAGCCCCGCGTCTCCGCCGGGAGCACGGGCTTTCCCAGAGCCCCTGGGTTTCCTTGACCTGGGTTCTGTGTCAGTACATCGCCGCTTCCCGCCCACGCACTCGGCCGTGTGCTGCATGGAGCCGTGTTTGCGGAGCACTCTGGGTGGCCCCTGGCATTACAGGTGCCCGGAGCCGGCGTCGTCTCTGCGGTCCCGGGCAGCGGGCAGGGACAACCGTGTGGAGCCTCCAGCACTGACCAGGGACCGTGTGGCATCTCCTTGGGTGCTCTCTCCTGGGCAAGAGCCACTGGGCTGTGCCCAGGTGTCAGACAAACCTCGGTACCCGAATAACAGCAGGAGCAGCAGGGCAGCCGACAGAAGGATGTTCATGCTGCCCAGCGGTTGGCCCTTCTCCGGTTTGACCTCGAGTCTGTTGGGGGCCCCGTCTTCGGGGTCCGGGAGTGCTTGTCTTCCCGCTGTGGGTGTTGTCACTAATGTCGGAAACCTCCAGTATCACCGGAGAAGGATGAGGTCTCCAGTTCAGGCCTCGGTGCAGAGGGAGGCGGTGACCCCTCGCCCAGGCAGGGAAGCTCGCTCTGGGCGGCGCGCGTCCCGTACCCCACCGCAGGGGCTCATTTCGGCGGAGGGGTCCCGCTGCCCTTTGGGAACTTGAGGGCTGTGGATACTCTTCCGAGAAAATGCACATAAAAGCGGTCACGTCCTGTCAAGGACTCCGGGCTCCTCTTGCCCCTGTGGAGGCTGGGCTAGAGCTGGCTCCAGAGGGGGCAGGAGCGGGGGCTGAGGGAGGCGACTGGCGGGGCTCAGCTGAGGGGGAGTTGGGTGGCACGCAGTGAGAGGTCTGCTGGTCCCTGGGAGAAAAGGAAGGTCTCATGCGGTCGGGCTTTAAATCCTAAATGTAAGGGGTGCCGACACCTGACCGTTCTCCCGGGGGTCAGCCTGGCCCAGCACGTTGGCCATCTGTCCAGCACAACGGTGCCCTTGGGAGCAACGCCGCGGGCCTCAGTCCTGCCCCCGCCACCTCTGAGGAGCACACTCTGTCTCTCTTTTCCTAGAAGCGGCCCCCACGTCTGCATATTCATCTCCAGCCCGGAGTCTTGGGGACACAGGGATCACGCCTCTGTCCCCTTCCCACATTGCGGTAAGACGTGTGTGCATGCTGTGTGGGTGTGTGGGTGTGTGAGCTTTGCACACGCTGCTCAGGTCCAGAAAGACCCTCTGAGGGGAACTTGGGGCCACCCTTAGGTAGGGGCACCAGCTTGTCCTGGTTTGCCCAGAATTGTCCAGGTTTTACATAAAAGTCCCGCGTCCCGGACTCCCTCCGTCCTGAGAAAACTGGCAGCCGTGGCCACCTACGGCCGGGCCCTGTGCACCCTGAATGTTCCCTGTAAGAGCTTCAGGGTCGCCTTGGGCATGGGGGGGGGAGGGGCAGAGTGAACAGAGGCCAGATGGGCGGGGCTCTCACCCCCTGCTCCAACCAATACACTCCAAATCCAAAATTGATTGGTTTTATCTCTTTTTTTTCCTCTGAGTGTTAAAAAAAGTCTATAGTGCTTTTTATTCAAGGTTGGGAACCCCCCCAACCCCTTCCTTGGTGTATCTGCAGAACGATGCTGACGCGAATGTCTCGGCGGAGCAGACGTTCCTCGTGGTGGTGGCCATCGACTTTGGGACCACGTCCAGTGGCTATGCCTACAGCTTCACCAAGGAGCCGGAGTGCATTCATGTGATGAGGTGGGCGCTGTGGGCGGAGGACCTGTGCTGGGCCAGCCCCTGCACCCCTGGAGACTTGGGGGAGGCACTGGGGAGGGGAGAGGGATTAGTTCAAGGAGCAGGGGAATGGCACTTAGTAGGCATGTCCTGGATTCTGACCCAACCTGGCCCAAACTCACTGTGCCGCTTTGGGCCAGCCGCCTCTGCTCTCGGGGCTCCAGGCTCGGGGGCTGAGAAAGTGTGGGTTTCATTCTGACTTGGCCTGGGGCAGGGCACGGACGGTATGTTTACAACGTGCCCCAGGTGATTCCAGCCTGCGGCCTGGGCAGGGCACAGACGGTATGTTTACAGCACGTCCCAGGTGATTCCAGCCTGCGGCCTGGGGCGGGGCATGGACTGTATGTTTACAATGTGCCCCAGGTGATTCCAGCCTGTGGCCTGGGCAGGGCACAGACAGTATGTTTACAACACATCCCAGGTGATTCCAGCCTGCGGCCTGGGGGAGAGGTGCCCACTTACGGGGGGTCTGTGGTGGACACTTACTGTGTGACCTTAGGCAATGGCTAAATCTCCTACCCCTCAGCTCCTCCTGTGTGGAACGGGGAGAATGACAGTCCGGGGGGTGCGCGCAGACGGAATGAGATCCCTGTCAATGCTCAGCACCGGGAGGTGTGAGTCCTTCCCAGGGGGGGAGGTGTCATGGGAGGACAGTGCCAGAGCAGAGAGTGCCGTGCCTGAGAACAGCAGAGCGGGTGAACTTCAGCCAAGTGCACCTAAAGGGTCACCCTGAAGTTGCCCTGGTCTCCTGGGGCACACTCTGTGCTCAGGACACTCCGTGCCCTGACCCCTGACCCCTGCACACAGCTGCTGAGTACAACCTTGCGTTCACCCTGTCCACGCGCGACCTCTGTCTGTGAAGATTCGGGTCAGCCCAGCACCAGCCTCCCCCACCCCCCCGGTCTGGCCATGGCCTTCCTGCAGAGTCTGTGGCCCCTCAAAGCTTAGGGAGCTAGGGATTTATCACCCCGACTTCCCAAACCCAAGCATGGCTCTGAAGATACATTGTGATTGGCAGTCCCTTTAACTGGCAATAGTGGAATTCAGTTATTGCTCTCAGGGTGTGATTTTCAGGCTTCTTTTAAAAGTGCTCTTTAAAACGTAAGTTGTAATAAAAAGTTGTAATAAAAGTAATCTCCGCCCAATCTTGGTCAAGGCCTGCCTTTCCCCTGGAAAGCCGGATGTGACTCAGCTGAGGCCCCGGACCAAGAGGCCGCAGAGACACCGAAAGGCCGCTCTGTAGGGACCCCGAGACAGCACAGCCCTGGGCTCTGCCCCCCGCTAGCTGCACAGATGCCCTGGGGATCCGTGGCTCTGCCGGCCCGAGATGGAAAACCCGAGTGGAAGAGCACGCGGTCAGAAGCCAGAATCGGTGTCTGCATAGTTGTCTTAAGAAATGTTATTTCCAAGGGATAGTTATGCAATGAGAAGAGCAGAAATAACGTTGAACTTGCTTGGGAGGAACCCTCGCAAAACATTGGCAGCATTCGGGGACTCAGAGCTGTTATCTTAGTTACTGGAGCGATTTGGCAAGGAACTTTACTTCAATCAGAACCTATGACAAAGTTATGAATGAGAAACCTGAATTTTCTCTGTTTGAGTAGGAACAAAGGAATACAAAATGGGAGGGAAACCCAGGAGGTCGTCGCTGACACAGATGTCAGTGGTAACTAGTGGGAAGCACTTCGTGAAAGGCTGTGTGGACTGTGCCCGGCGCCTCCGCTCGGGGTGGCCATCAGCCCTGTGTCTCAGGTCCCCGTGGGGACTTAGCTGTCTGGGTAGAAGCCTGCACGCTGGCGGAGCCTGACTGGAAAACTGGCCAGGGACAGTCCCAGACTCATCTGGGCGCAGATTCAGGTGGAGCTGGCTGTCCCTCTGGACCGTGATGGTCCCCCCGCAGCCTAACGATGCAGCGCCAGGCAGTGTCGGGGCAGGTGGGGGCTCAGCCAGGAGCAGCACCCCAGGCGTGCAGGGAGGGAGGCGCGCTTCTCCCCCTGCACCCTGCTCCGCCAGAGATGCTGCTCCTGGGGGTCATGGCCAACAGCAGGATGGGAGCCAGCTGTGCAGCAGGGCCTGCTTGGGAAGGAGCATCCTGGCCTCTGGCAGCTGTGGCGTCTCTGCCGCCCCCGGGGAGGGAGAAGCATCCAGTCACCTGCCCTCTCCACTTGCCTCCCCTTTCCCCCGCTTTCTGTGTGAGAGACGGGAAGGTCCATCTCTAGGGCTCAGCCGCCCCTGCCTGTCCATCGCCCTCCGTGAGTTCCAGGGCGTAGTCTCATAGCATCTGTCCTCTGTCTGTCCCCACCTCACCCCTCTCCTGGCTCCTTGGCACACAGCCCTGCAGAGCCCAGCCCCGTCCCTCCCCACTGTTCCCGGCAGTGCCCTCACCGCACCTCTCGCTGTGGCTGTCTGCCCGATGAGGCTCAGGTCTGTGTCCTGCCTGGATCTCTGCATGAACTCCCTAGGAGGTCACTGCGACGTTCACCTGGAGCTCCCCACATTCCCCGCAGCCTCCGTGTTCAGGGCCCCGGTCTCTGAGGAGGGTGCTTTCTCTGCTAGGCACCCACGCTGGGAACCGCCGGTGCCTTGGCTCCTGCTCACCAGGTTCACCCGGTTCTCCCCTAGATGCTCCATCCCCCTCTCTCCCCCTTGGCTTCCTACCCTTGTCGGGCTCTCTCACCTCTGCTCCCGAGGAGCCTCAGCTGTCTCCTCAGCCTCCCAGCTTCCAGCCTCCGTCCCTGTAGGCTGCCTGGTCAGCAGCAGTGATTCGGGCATGCCCCTGCTCTAGAACCTGCAGTGGCTCCCCATGACCCACTGGTTCCAGCTTCGACTCCTCAGGGTCTCTTCAGCCTGGACCCACCACCTCCCCAAGCCCGCGTCTCACTCCGCTCGTCCTCACACTTGTTCCCTGAGCAGCCTGCAGTGCCCTTTCCTCCGGGAAGATGCAATTGTCTGTCACCCCCCAAGTCTCTCCTGAGCCCCCTTCTCCCCCTACCCCGCCAGCTGGCTTCTCGGCCTTCTCTGGCCCCGGGGCATTTCCCTGGGATTTCGAAAGAAGGCGCCATAACCTCTGCCTCCCCTTGGTGGCAGGCGATGGGAAGGAGGTGACCCTGGGGTGTCCAACCAGAAGACTCCGACCACGATCTTGCTGACGCCCGAGAGGAAGTTCCACAGCTTCGGGTACGCCGCCAGGGACTTTTACCACGACCTGGATCCCAACGAGGCCAAGCAGTGGCTGTACCTGGAGAAGTTCAAGATGAAGCTGCATACGACCGGGGTGAGCGAGCCTCTCCCTGTCCCCCGAGTCCTCTGCACTGTGAGCGTGGGGTCTTTCCAACCCGGGGGACCCTCAGGCTCCTCCCAAGCAGAAACTCTTGTCCATTTACCTGGATTTTAGAAATTACCTGGAGCACCCCACACTGTGGGATACACAGCACTTTCGGAGGTGCACGTGGGCGGGGAGATGTTCAGGATATTTGACTCCTGGTTTGCCTCGGAGAGGGACCACTCAGAGTGGGTGCTGCCGGAGCACAGGCCTAGGGGCTGGGGAGCCCATGCCAGGAGGTCCCCCTTCAGCTGCTGGATTATTGGGAGATGAAGGAGGGACTTGGGCACCAGGCATTTGTGGGGATAAGGGCAGTGGCTATTAACTAACCCATTCAGAAGTAACAACTGGCCCATAACCCCCTGCTTGGAAATCAAGTGCCCAACAGCTGGAGGCCCAGCTCCCACCCCAGGTCTGCTCCCAACATGCCCAAGTTTTTTTCTTTATTGATTTTAGAGAGAGAGGAAGGGAGAGGGGGGGAGAGAGAGAGAGAGAGAGAGAGAGAGAGAGAGAGAGAGAAACATCGATGAGAGAGAACATCGATTGGCCGCCTCTTGCATGCCTCCCTCTGGGGATCAGGCCCACAACCTGGGCATGTGCCTGGACCAGGAATTGAACCGGTGACCTCTTGGTGCATGGGCCAACACTCAACCACCGAGCCACACCAGCCGGGCCATGCCCAAGTTCTGTGAGCTATCTCGGGCAATCAGGGCTTCTCCCTCAAGCTTCATGGAAGTGACCGGGCCAGAGGGTAGAATTTTTTCAGTTCAAACATATGATTCCAGAGACTCAGAATGGTGGTAGTGTTTAAGGTCAGGCGTCTAGAGACGGATACCCTGGGTTTAAATCCTGCCTCTGCCACCTCCCAGGTGCTCAACCCAAGTCTCTCGCCTCTCCGTGCCTTGCTTTGCCTCATTTGTGAAGCGTAGACACTGATAGTGCCCCCGTGGGCATTTTGTAAGGGTAAAAGGAATCAAAGCACACAGTCCAGAACCACGCCGGTACTTTGCGAGTTCTACTGAGTCGCTAGCTCCTGTTGTTACTGCTTTCACTTGTCTGCTGTTACGTGTTTGCAGAAGGCAAACCCGGCAGCCAGCACCCTACTTCCCAGGGCCCTGTGCTCATGGTGTGATGTCTCTGTATGAAGCAGGCAGGCTCTGCTAGAAACGTATCCTTCCCGTTCCGCCTGGTGGGACTCGCTGCGGAATTTCGGCTTGCACAGGTGGACGCACAGGACATTTTTCAATTTGAATTTTAAAAATTCTGAGCCCGTGGCTTCCTGGTGCTCAGCCATATTTCTGAGACTGGGAGCCACCGCCCCCAAGCTGGGGTGTCTTTGCTGAGCGACAGGGATGGGGAGTGGCTAGCCAGGAGGAGGGAGCTTGGCGGACGGGGCAGGATGACTGGCAGGCTTCGGGAGGCTGGTTTCGCAGCTTGGTGCCCTTCCACACTCCAAAGGCGAAGCCCAATTACTGAGCCGGGATCCACCGGAGGCCCCACGGGTGTTTTTCCTTGGTGGTCATGAGCCTGTTGGTTCTGGATGCTTGGGGGCTTTCTCTGCCCATCCCCACTCCGCGGGGCGTTTCTTGTGGTGTTGGAATGACCTCGGTCCACACGGCATCCCCCAGAGCATCCCCCACCCGACTGCACTCAGCATCTGCTTCGGCTTCGGCAGAGGAAGAGGGGGTGCAGGGCTCCCGGTGTCAGGCAGTGAAGCCTGACTTGGTTGGCCACTCACTGGGGAATGAAAGCTTCACAGCTGTTCAACATCACGCATGTCAGTGGGTTGGCATGATTACATAGGCCTCCGCTGGGGGGCTTCCGGGGTGACCATGTGTGTCCACGAGTGGACATAGTGGTGCCTGCAGCCTTCCTCTCCCCCCGCCTCTGCCGCTGCCCTGAAACCTCGCTCCCCGGTGATCCAGGGAGTGGGGGAGAAGTGGAGGCGGGGCGGAGGGGAACAGCCGGGCCTCCTGCATGGCGCAGGGACCACGCCTCCAGGCCTGTTCTGGACCACGCGCTGTCCGAGTTGGCCCCTCGAGCGCTGGGAAGCACAAACACGCCACCCGCTCCCCCAGAACTCCACGTCGCGTCCCCAAAGCCAGCAGGATGTCTCCCTTGGTCTTCGTACTGTTTCATTCCTCTCCTCCTCCAGGACCTCACCTTGGACACAGACCTGACAGCAGCAAACGGCAAGAAAATCAAAGCCCTAGAAATCTTTGCTTACGCCCTGCAGTACTTTAAGGAGCAGGCGCTGAAGGTAGGACAGGTGGCAGTGCCTGGGGTGGCGGTGGGGGGGGTGGCGCACCTGCCACTGGGGTGCCTGGAGGGAGAGAGGGTGGGCTTTGCATGCAGAAAGCAGGCTGCACCCTCCTGGCTGCAGAGGGGCCTGGAAGAGGGGCAGCCGCTGTGGAAGACAGTCTGGAGGGTCCTCAAAAGCTGAAACGGGCCCTGGCCGGTTTGGCTCAGCGGTTAGAGCGTCGGCCTGCGGTCCGGAGAGACCCGGGTTCGGTTCCCGCTAAGGGCATGTACTTCGGTTGCAGTTTGTCCCCGGCTCTGGTCAGTCATGCGGGTGGCAGCCACTCGATGTGTCCCTTCACGTCGATGTTTCTCTCTCTCTCTGTTCCTCTCTCCCCCTCCTACTCTACCTGAACAAAAAATGGAAAAATGTCCTTGGGTGAGGATAAAAAAAAAAAAAAAAAAGCTGAAACGGAATTCCCACGTGACCCAGCAATTCCACTCCTAGAGAAATGAAAACAGTTTACTCACGCAGGCCCTTGTATACGAACGTGTCTAGTGTCACTAGTGATAGTAGCTAAAGAGCGGAAACAACCCACATGTCTGTCGGGGATGAATGGGTAACTGGACGGGGTCTGTCCGTACTATGGCACATCATTCAGCCACAAAAGGATGAAGAGCTGACAGCAACAGCGTGGATGAGCCTGAGATCACCATGCTGAGCGAAAGAAGCCAGACACCGAGGCCACCTGTGGACTGATCCCGTTTATATCGAATGTCCAGAAGAGACTCCTCCCTGGAGACAGAAGGCAGATTCGTGTCTGCCAGGGACTGGGAGGGTGGGAATGAGGAGTGACTGCCACAGGGCGTGGGTGATAAATCAGGTAGTGGTGACGTTTGCACAAACCTTGTGAGTGTACTAAGACCCACTGAGCCGTGTACTCTGAAAGGGTGAGCTTTGAGGGTGTGTGAATTATGTCCCCGTAAAAAAATCGAAAGCAGGCAGGACACTCAAGCAGCAGCCGTGCGATCTTGGGCAGGGTTCTCAGTGTCCCCAGTGCCCACATTCCGGACCCGAGAGGGGCGCGGTAACTGCACCTCCGGAGTTGACATAAATGAGAGAACAGACACAAGGAGCCTCCCGCGGGGCCTGGCCCAGAGCTACGCTGGAGGGTGGGCCAGAATGAGCTCGAGTCGGTCTCAGAAACCCCACGCACAGTGGAGTCGCGCTCGCGGCTGGAGAGCGGCCTGTGGAAACACTCCGTCCCATGAGGAAGCACACCCCGCGGGCTCCGGCCGCCCCTGCTTGGAGTTGAACACAGCCAGGGTGGTAGCAGGTGCGCTTAGGGCCCTCCCCCACACCTGTCACACGCTCACCTGCTTTCAAAGCCCCGGGCAGACCTGCAAGGAAATAGCATGCTAAAAAAATAAAAATAAAACAAAAACAAACGGCTATTTCAGGTTGGCCCAAAGCAGAGATATATTTTTTTAAAACAGGTTTTAAAAAGTTTTCTGACTGTAGATAACACTACCGAAATGTACACCTAAAAATGATCAATTTTATGTCATATGTATTCTGTCACAATTAAAAATGAAATCAATAAGTACTGATCAAAGAGGAAGTTGGTTCAGCGAGAGGGTGGGTCAGTCCCAAGATACCCATTCGAAACAGTAGGGAAAATGGGACACCCGTCAGAAGAAAAAGAAAAGTCACCAGCTTGTTCATCTGAACCGGTCCCCAGAGCCGGCTGCGGTGCGGAAGGACATCTGTGTGTTTCGGTCTGACTGCAGGTGTGTCTGCTGCCGTGGCAACAGGAGGGGAGGGTGAGGGAAGAACCCCCATGTCAGAGGTCTTCTCGGAGGCCTTCTCTGGCCCAGCGTTCCACATGTGTCCACGTTTAATTTTGCCGCTAATGTCGTGGGTTAGTTTCGTTCTCTCCATTTTACAGATGGACAGACTGAGTCTGAACTATGCTAGAGGCATATTTTGTCCACGTGGACCTGGTGGCAACGTCTGAGGCTTCTGCCCGTCCCATTTACCCACATGGTTTAACCTCCACCCAGAGTGAAGGGCAGCATGGTTCTCGCTTAGGTCCTGCCCTTGGTACCCTTCCTGTCCTGCCAGGAAAAGTCCCCTGACGTGCTGGGCTTCGGGGGAGGCAGATGACAGTGACAGCCCCGACGACGGCCACCACACACAGTCCAGATACGACACATGTCACAATTCAGTTCAGACGTTGGCCTCTAGAGTCAGGATAGACCTGGGCCGAGTCCCGATTTTGCCTCTGCCACTTTCTAGCTGTGTGAGCGTCAGAAGGACGATGCGTCGAGGCCTCAGCGTGCCATGTGTGGGAAGGGCACCGCTACGATCCCTCCCTAACGGCATCCTTAGGTGGGTTCATGGGGATGAGGTGTGCAAAGTACTTAACGACGCAGATACGGAGTGAACTCTCGGTAAATGGCTCTCAGGAAACGGCCAGTCCCTCCAGCAGCCAGCTGTGGCGGGGAATTATTACCTGCTGTACAGATAAGGACACTGAGGCCTGAGAGTTGTCACTTGCCCTAAGTCACATGGCTGGGAAGTGGCCATAGGCCTCTGGTCTGCCTGCCGCTCGTGGTCACATTCGGTGGGTGAAGGAGCCGGGGGCTCCCTGTTTGCTGAACAGTCAGAAAACAGACCCTCACTCCCTGGTGCTGGTAGGAGGCCCTGGGAGGGACCTTCTCAGCCGGGAGGACCAGCTGCGTCCAGGTGACCTGCTGTGCTTTCCTCGGCTTTAGGAGCTGAGCGACCAGGCAGGCTCGGAGTTCGAGAACTCTGATGTCAGATGGGTCATCACGGTGCCTGCCATCTGGAAGCAGCCCGCCAAGCAGTTCATGAGACAAGCTGCCTACCAGGTGAGTGGGGATGGGAGCGGACGGGGCCCCGGGTGACCACGCTGGCGCCTGGCGCCCACTCGCGTCCAGCATGCGTGGGCTTCCTTGGGCAGCAGCGAGGGGTCTTCCACCGCCTTCCTCCTGGGGGAAGAATGGGGTTCAGACTGGCAAGGGGAGGAGCTGGGCTCCTTTTCTTTCTGACTTGGTACAGTTCCAGGTCATGTTGTCACTGTAGAGTCCCTGGGCTAAGATTTCAAACTGGGGTTCAGAGACATTTCACTGTGGGTGAATAGAATTGCAGATGCCAGTAAAGGGCTTGGAAAACCAGAATAATTGAATGAGACAGGAATGACGACAAGGTCCACGGCATGAACCCGCAGATCAGTGTGGTGCGGAGGCTGGAAGCTGTACCCACGCAGCCGGGAGATAAAGGAAACCGGGTTTTCCTCTGCCTGTTCCACCTGTGAACGTAGGGGCACGGACGGTCACCCCAGAGAGGGGTGAGGGTGCCGCCCCTGCCTGGTGGCAGACTCCTGGATGAGGTCAGTGGCATGGCTGAGGAGTCTGCCAGTCAGCTCAGCGCCATGGAGATAGAGGTTCCAGGGCCAATGGCCAACTCGGCCCTCCTGGGCGCCTGGGGTCCCCGCTGGTTCCAGGAACCCTCAGAGCCTCCGACCCCACACTGTCTGCAGACAACTTGTCCCATGACAGGGCTTCCGTGAGGGTCTGACTCTGGCGAGAAAGGCTGGTCGTCCCAATTGCTGTTCTGGTCCTAGGACAGCTGCTTCCGTGTACTTACTTAATCCCTTGGGGCAATGAACGCCTACCTGGGGCTCGGGTCAGTCTCTCTGTCCTGAATGTCAGTTTTCACGGCCATTAACTTGAGCCGGGCCGGGGAACGTCACCACCGTGAAAGATGTCCTTTTGCCCACTGCCAGGGCAAAACTCTGACGTTGAGTTTGTGGCCACACGGATGAACCTTTCCTTTCAAAGCACCCACCAGATCCACCCGGGGTGCAGCAGTGTGGTCCGGTGGGCACCTTGGGGTCACGGACTGCACCTAGCACTTGGGGCTTTACTCCAGGTGGGAGGGCGAGTTCAAGGAGGGCAGTGTCCCTCCCCTCCCAACCCCTCCCCCCCCCACCCCAGGCTGACTCCGCTGTGCTCCCCTTCCTCTGCTCAGCGTGAGAATCTGGCTCAGTCTGTGCATCTGCCAAAAATAGATCTGCTTTCCTAGGGATGAAGCAAGAGGGTGGAAGTTCCAGAAAGGGGCATCTTCTTTAGAATCTGTCCAGGGAGCCCCGGCACCCGGGAACTTCTCCCGGACTCAGCCTCGGGCAGCATCCAGAGACAGGCCCCGGGAAGGACGGCTAAAAAGACAGCCCCGTGTCTGAGTTTTTCCCAGGAGGGATGCTCGAGATTCATGCTGGACTGTCATTGTCCAGCCCACAGGACGACTTCAGCAACCAATGTGTGACCCAGAAAAGGGTCCGTTCTTATTTTTAGCTTGAAAAAGAAAGAGGTGCTGTGACTGGTAGATTTGTCAGGGCTGGGAGGGCTCTGGGCCCGCCCATCAAGGGCAGCTTCTCTGGAAGAGGGGTGGGGCTGGGCAGGGAGGGAGAGGGGAGAGGCCGCTCAACCCTGGGGCAGCTGAGGAGGAAGGAAACGGGGGGGGGGGGTCCTCTGGGGTTCGGCTGAATCAAAATGGCACCTCAGAGAGCAGAGGGTTCAGCAGGTCCTAAGCAGAGCACATGTGATCAGCGTGCATGGATGTAGGGAATTTGCTTTCTGAAGCCTGGAGACACTCTGCAGACGGGCTTGTCTCCCCAGTCCTGGGCAGCTTTTGTTTGGTGCTGTGACTGTGCAGCGGAATTGTTTTTTGCATCTTCACCCGAGGGTCTGTTTTTTATTGACTTTAGAGAGAGGAAGGGAGAAAGAGAGAGAAAAAACATTGATGTGAGGAACATCAGTTGGTAGCCTCCTGTACAGGTCCCGAAGTGGGGGATGGAACCTGCGACCTAGGTGTGTGCCTTGACCGGGAATCAAACCTGCAACCTTTCGGTGTACAGGACAGTGCTGTAACCAACGGAGCCACCTGGCCAGGGCTGTGCAGCTTAATTTTTGACCCTGTGTAATTTTCATTCGATACCCGTGTCCCGTCTACAGTCACGGCATGGGTTTAAGATGGCAGGGACCACTCAGTCACTGTTCACTATTCGTTCATTCATGAAACACACCTGCGCTGGGAGTGTTCCGTGTGCCAGGACTGGGGTAGGCACTGGATTCACACCCGGTGAGACTGGCCCTGTTCTCCAGTAGCTTGCAGCCGAGTGCTTCATCGAAGCAGTCACACTTCTGGGAGGGACAGAGGGCCTGTCCGGGCATTTCTCTGCAGTCTGGTCAGCCTGTTTTCTGGAAGAATCTCAGTGACAAAATGGAAATGAAGCTTGAGATTCTGTGAACAAAATGGGCATCTGTCCAACTCTCCCTCCTCACCCCCCCCCCATTTAGTATATAGAATAAGAAAGATGTGTACCTGTGATGGTTAATTTTATGTGCATACTTGACTGAGCCAAGGGTTACCCAGATATTTGGTCAAACATCATTCTGAGTGTTGCTGTGACGATGTTTGGGGATGATATTAACATTTAAATCAATTGCCGGAATAAAGCAGATTGCCCTCCCCAAGGTGGGTGGGCCTCACCTAATCAGTTGAAGGCACGAGTAGCACCTCCCTAGAATAAGATGGAATTCCTCCGGCCTGCTGACCTTCAAACTGGGACATTCCTTTGGATTAAATGGAAACATCTGATCTTCCTGGGTCTTGAACCTGCCTGCGAGGGAACCGCACCTTATTGGCTCTCCTGGTCCTCCAGCTTGCTGACTGCAGGTCTCCAGACCTGTCAGTCTCCAAAACCACGTGAGCCAATGTCTTATCATAAATCTTTTTCTACACATACATACATCCTATTAGTTCAGTTTCTCTGGAGAACTCCCATAGAAAACCTGAGCAAAAAACAGTTCTTGGCCCAGCCAACTTCTGAGATCCAAGAGTGCCCACCAACCCTCTCACCAGGGTGCTACCCATCAGCCTGACTCCAAGTGGAAGAGCCAGGAGGCGGCGGGAGGGTGATCAGACCAGCTGGGACACTGTCGCATCCAACCTGCTTGCACGTGAGAACAGAGCCCCTCCTTCCAGGCCTGTCCAGGTTCCCGGAGCCCGAGTTCATGGCACAGTCCTTGGGGACCTGAGCTTCTCCCCGTCACCAGCCTGGTGGAGGATGAAGGGCCTGGCTGCAGAGCAGGAGCTGAGGCCCTGGGGAGCACCTCCAATGGGAGAAGCAGGCCTGGAGTGGACAGAGGTCGGATTCACTGCCGGTGGGCTCAGGGCAGGCTACAAATGCAGTTTCATCTGTGAAACACCAGGGTCTCCGCTAGTGTCAAGTGCCCGTTGAAAAAGCAGGTTAAATCTCTATCTTTTGTAATAGACAGCCTCAGGTCACCTATTGACCCTTGAAGAGCATTCAGTGAAAAGATGGTAGCAGACAGAATAGCTGATCTAAAAAAAAAAAAAAAACAAGGAGCAGAATAGCTGCCCTGGCCAGTTTGGCTCAGCGGTTAGAGCGTCGGCCTGCGGTCCGGAGAGACCCGGGTTCGGTTCCCGCTAAGGGCACGTACTTCGGTTGCAGTTTGTCCCGGGCCCTGGTTGGTCGTGCGGGTGGCAGCCACTCGATGTGTCCCTTCACATCGATGTTTCTCTCTCTCTCTCCCTCCCACTCTATCTGTACGAAAAATGGAAAAATATCCTCGGGTGAGGATAAAAAAAAACCAAAAAAAAACAAGGAGCAGAATAGCTGATCTGCCCTGGCCAGGAGGCTCAGTGGGTGGAGCATTCTCATACACCAAAACCTTGCAGGTTTGATTCCTGGTCAGGGCACGTACCCAGGTTGCAGGTTTGATGCTGGTCTGGGTCTGTATGGGAGGCAGCCGATCAATTTTTCTCTCTCACACTGATGTGTTTCTCTCCCTCTCTCCCTTTGTTTCTCTCTAAAAATCAATAAGAAACAAACAAGCAGCTGATCCCTCTTGTAGACCTAGAATGAGAGGTCGTTCCACTGAGTCTTGAGAGCTTCATGGATAAGAAACAGTCCCGTTTATTTCTAGAGGCATTTTGCCTAAAGTGTGTAACTCTAGTAGGTTTCAGAAACCTGTTAAGTAAATGTTTCCCTACATGTGATGATTTCATCTGACACGGAGTTGCAGCTTGCATTTGCCTTCATCTCTGAACAAATCGCAGTGACAAATAATCCTATCAGGAAAAAAGCAAAAACAACAGCCCCATGACACCCAGAACCGGGGCAGCTGGGGCCCTTGGCAGCTTGACGCCAGGCCAGCAGAACACTCGGTCGTCTGGTCGTTTGGTCGTTTTTCTCAGCTGTAAACACAGCCCCTGCTGGATCTCGCCAGCTGACTGCAGGGTGGAGAAGCAGTGTAGGCAGTGTGGACGCCCACACCCGTCTCCCTGGAGTCACCCACCTGCTGCTCGTGACCACGAAGCAGCACTCTGGAAAGCTGTTCCGATGGTGCTCCTGCTGCCCCAGGTCCCTGGGGGCGTCCCGTGGGGTTGCACGCTCTTGGTTCAGACACCTTCTGTTTGTAGAGACCGCAGGTCATGCCGGCAGAGTGCTTGCTGTCTTTCAGTTTTGCGGAGATGAGCACCAGGAATTGCAGAACATTGTTTGGCTGGAGGGATGTTCATTCATTCATTTAGCAGCTACCCTCCGCGCCCCTCCTGGGTGCTCTGGGGCAAGAAGACCTGCTTGCTGCCTGCAGTGAACATACCATCTTGCAGGGGAGGCCAGACGTGTCTGCCTGGCCCAGCGGAGGGAGAGCTCAAAGCGCAGCAGCCCCGAGGTCCCACCTTGAGGTGGAATTAGCAAGAGTGGAGAGCGTGCTCTGCTACAGTGACCCGGGCTTGGGCCCAGGCAGACGGCCGCCCAGGTCTCCTGCCGGCTGCCGCTGGAGGGTTTCTGCTGAGAAGACTGCAAGTGTTTACGCAGAAACAAGCTCACACTCCCGGGCACCCGGCCTCCTGCCCAGAGAGCATCTCGGCTGGGCTTTGAGTCTGGTGGATTCCCTTGTATTTCCTCCTTGTCCTGGAGTACACAGGCAGCCCTGCGACCCCCTCCCGGGACACGGAATCTGCCAGGGCCAGCCGCTGCCTCTTGCCTGTCCCTCAGCTCTTCACTGTGGCCACCATTAGGGTGGCGGGCGGGGCACAGCCCCTTATTGTCACCGGGGAGCACGACGGGCTCATTCCAACAAAGGGTGTGGTTACTCTTTCCTGGGTCTCCCAGGTACTTCCGGAGCCCTCTGACCTGGCCTTTTCCTCCCTCTGGTGTGGGGTCCTCTTCACCTCCATTCCCTGTCTGCACCCGTTCCTGGTGACCGCGGGGAACCGCGGGTGCAAACGGGTCAGTGACCAGCAGGGAGGGCCGGGGAAGGCGGCTCCTGAAGGGCACAGCCGGGCGGTGTTCGGTCCTCGGGCCCCGTGTTCAGGACGTGGGAGCAGCCTCGTGGGGGCCGTCACAGCAGGTGCACTGGGACATGTCGAGTTGTGTGATTTTGCTCCAGGCTCCTCATCCCTCTGGTCATCTTGATTCCATTGCTCCACGTAGACATTTCAGGCCCTGCTCGGAGTCTCAGGCAGGGTGTGGAGGGGAACTACGGTTCTTGCTTTTCTCGTTTCCCTCCTGTTCCCCACTGCCCGGCCCAGGCCCTGTGCTCTTCCTGGCCACCGGGGGCCACCTGGCGGGTGGACGTCCCTATGGGACATGACAGTGATGTCATCACGGGCCTTAACCTTTCCTCCTTCGCTCTGAGTCCCTGGGGCCTCTCCGGCTGTGTGCTGGCCCCCCTTCACCCCAGTTTTATTTTCCATTCTGAACCTGGGGGAGTCTGATGCCGTGTGGCCCTGCGGTTTCTCTGTAGCTGGTCTTTCCTTCCCCACCCCACATGGTGGATGCAAGCCTGGCAGCTTCCCTTAGGAGCTCCTGGACGAGACAAACCCAGGAGATGGGGCAGGGAACCCACGGGAGCCGTCCTTTTGCCGGGGCGCTTCTTGGTTTTATTTATTTTGGGTTTCTTCTTCAGGGATTCTGGGGATGAAGGTTCAGAGGTCTCATCTTTCCTGGTGTGTAACCCATGTCCTCTTCCATTGGGTACTATCACCTCACCTGACTGTTCCGAGGGTGTCTACTGTGACCCCGGGAGAAGTGAGGCTGGGGGAAGGGGACTTCTAATCCTTGGGCCGGGAGTAGTGGGCATCTCGTCACACGTCTGTGTCAGTGGCCTGTTGACCATGTCAGCTAAGAGCAGGTCCCGCCTCTTCAACCCAGGGACCCAGCTGGTGGACACAGGCACCGCCTACGTGGGTGGCCACTGCCGAGGGTGCAAGGCTGTAAGGAGACAGGTTTCCTGTGATGGGATGGACGTGTGTGTGGTTCTGTAAGGTCAGTCTTCCAGCAGGACTTTTACCACCTGCTGTGAAGCATTTGAGATTGGCTGAATGGAGATGTTCAGACACCTGTCCGCTGATGGTGTTGCGAGAAGACAGTTAATTGGTTCATTTGGGGTATGGTACAGGCAAGTGTGCTGTCGGGTGCTGTTCTTTAAGCCAGTCGAGGGGGGCATTTGAGGCACTGAGAAGTTTTGTTCAAGTTCTCCCGAAGGTCTGGGCCCCACCTCAGTACCTGGAGTCACTCAGCCCAGGGAGCTGAGGATCAGGCACAGAGCTGGTCGCAGGGCGCGAGATCTGGGCCCGGGCCCGCTCTGCCACTACGGGATGGATACCCTTGAGCCTAAGAGACTGGGAGGCCCACGTCCCAGGAAACCCAGGACAGTCGGTCGCCCTACCCCTCCGACCCTTGGTTTCTTTCTGCAAAAAGGGAGGGAGTTGGACGAAGGTCCTTTGCATTTCTTGCAGTATAACCTGGCCTCCCCCACCCCACCCAGTAGCTGCTCCCCCACACCCCTTCCGCCCGTGGCTGCAGGCCGGCCCCTCCTGGAGAGAGGTCACTCTGCATGTGTGACACTAGGCGCACCTTCACCCCTGGCCTGGGCTGAGGCCACTAACCTCGTGAGCTGGCGTAGGACCGGGCCTTCTATCCAGTGGGTGCGGCACCAGGACAGCATCCTGAGGTTCCCTAGGAAACAGGACAAAGACAACAAACACCGCAGTGGCAGGAATGAGGCATGTCTCTGTTACCGCCGGCAGCCAAGGAAACTCGGTGGGCTCAAGTTCAAGGCCACGAGAGGTGGGCGGCACCCGGTAGGGCCATACCAGGCTCGCTGCTCCGAGCACCCTCAGACGGGTGGGCCCAGAGCCTCCTGGGCTGGCCCTGGTAAGGCCTGGAGGAGTGTGACCGGAACAGTCAGATGTCACAGAGCAGAAGCCTTTCTGCTATTAAAGGGACAAAGGCTTTGACTAAGATAACTTCCAGCTGCCTTTCCACCCACGCTCCAGGAGGGGGCGCCGTGTGGGATTCCAGGAGCGGCTTTCTGGAGCCCTGGTCACACCCAGACAGCAAAATCAGACGCTTGTCCGGCTGAGGTCGCGTGATGGGCCATTTGTCTCCTAGGCCACCAATGAGGGGGGCTGGCCCCGACTCAGTCAGACTGGCCTGTTTTAACCAAAACAGACCATTCTGCCTTCCCCTCTGTGACAGTTTTCAAAATTTTGGGGCCCGTCCCCTCATGCTTCTCAGTTCTGGGCTGAGCAAGACCCAGATGCCAGAGGCCCCGCGGCCCAGAGGGTGGCATTTCCCGTCTGGTTTTCTTTGGCCACTCTGGTGTGTGGGTACCTGGAGAGGCCCAGCAGCCGATCACCCCCAACTGTAAGCTCTGCAGAGGCCCATGGAGGGACGTTCTCAAACCAGCAGCGTGTGAGTGCCCCTTCCTTGGGGATGTCAGCCCCAGGTGCGGGTCCTCAGCGCGGTCCCGCCCAGGGAACACGGGTCCCAGCTCTCCTTCTGTGTTGCAGGCAGGCCTGGCCTCCCCTGAGAACTCGGAGCAGCTGATCATTGCCCTGGAGCCCGAGGCGGCCTCCATCTACTGCCGGAAGCTGCGGCTGCCCCAGATGATCGAGCTGAGCAGCAGGGCCGCGGTCAATGGGTACAGCTCCAGAGACACAGTAGGAGCTGGGTTTGCACAGGGTACCTCTGCTCTCTCTCTCCCCTTCCCTGGCCTCTCCCGCCCACCCTTGCATGTCTCTGGGCCTCTGTTATGTAAATGCACTTAGTGCCCTTGTGCAGAATCAAGGTGCTCCCCAGAGGTTGGCTTTAAGCACCTCTGTGCTCTGCCCTCTGACCTGGCCCCTCCAGGGGGTAAACTTGGCAGGGAGCACCCCGTGCATCACCCACCCACGTGACTTAGAGGGGAGGGTACTTCTCCACAAACTGAGGGGGGCTGAGAGCAGTCCTTGGCCTTGCATTTTACTAAGCTCTTAATCTTTCTTGTCTGTTAACTGATTCTTAATCTAATCCATTTGCCTGTTATTAATTCCTTCATTAAGACTCGGTTGATTGCTGACTCGCTCATGGAGCCGCTGCGTGTGTGATGAGCTCACTGTGTGTCTTTGCCATAAATACGCTGCAAAGGGCTGACTTTTCCCAACCCGGCTGATGCTCATTCAGCTGTGGAGAAGGTCACCTGCCTAAGGAGACAGGAAGTTAAGGAGGGACCTCAAGAACGTTCTCTCCTTCCTATTTCCCTGCATGCAAGGTGGTCGCAGTCTTGTCCCTAGAGCTGTTTTCCTGGCATCCAGGGCTCTGCACGTCTGTTCAGGGCCACAGAGTTTGGAGACACCTAGCTCAGGGTCAAAGCCACCCCTGTGAGTTTGGAAGCTAAGGGTGCTGTGGGGGGCACGCAGCTCCGGGCCGTCTCCAGGCAGGGCCTCAAGGGCAGAATCCAGCCCCACCCCGGGAGGCCAAGCACCGAGGAGAGGGAGGGAGGGCGGCAGCCAGGACGGCCCCCGGCTCCCCCTCTATCCTTGTTCCCACGCCTGCCTTGCCCCCACACCGAGGCCCAGCCGAGGCTCTGGGACCAGGCTCACCCTTAGCAGGCCATCTCCTCCAGGCCTCTCCTGTTCCTCGTCACAGGGTGACTGGCCCAGAAGCCACCGACATGCATTGTCACCAAGACTGGGGAATCTGTGCACCTCAGCCACAAGACAGTGACACAGAGTTCACTTGTCACCAAGCCGCTGCCTCGGCCTGCCAGGGCCCTGCGCTGGCACCTCAGACCTGATTCACCAGCGTCTGTGGGAACAGGCTTCCCTTGGGAAATGAGGGCCCGACTTGCCTTTTCCGGCAGCGCTGGGCCTCAGCACACGCCGAGGTTGGCCGCGCCGCCGACCGAATCCACGGCACTGTTGGAAACACGCAGTGACGTTCATTTAGATTTCCACCGTCATTGTTTTAATTGGAAAAAAAAAAAAAAGAGGAAGGACTGGGCTTTTCCTCTTATTTGCTGGTTCTTGGTTGTTCATAAAAGCAGATGAATGAGAGCTAGCCCGTTCTGGTGCAGCTCCTTTGACCACCTGCTAATCAAAGCGCACGTTTGGGGGGAAGCGTTCGGATGCTCGCCTTCCCCAGAGCTCAGGAGGTTTCCCCTCCTGCCACACGACCTGTCCTCGCCCACTGCTCCGTGCCCGTGGCCTGTGCCTGGCGGACTTGCGTGTTGTCTCGTGTGCTCAGAGGGTCTTGGGGGTTTTTTCAGGTCCCACAATGTTGGCCAGCACCCCTCCGAGGGGCAGAGAGGCAGGGTTCTGTCTCAGCCTTGGGTTGCAGTTAGAAGCACAGGGCGCAGAGCACGTAATCAGGAGTACCCAGGATGGCGCTGACGCCTCCCCCAGGCTGTCCCCAGACTGGAGGCTCCTCCTGGTGGACACCTGTGGACACCGTGGAGGAGAACGAAGCCCGCACTCTGCCCCCAGTACCACAGGGTTTGCTATCGGTATTTTTTTTTTTTTTTTTTTTACTCCAAGAAGATTTAATGAGATCTATTAAGGATACATTTTTCACAAAATGGGTTTAATTTGCCTGAAAAATGGGATAATTTTTTGAGAGCCCAGAGCATGTCCTGTTAGCTCCGCTTGGCCGTTTTTATGAATGCCATTCTGTTAGTCATCCAGATTGTTTTAGGAAATCAGATGCTCACTACAAGATCTGCAGTAGAAATTCTTCCGGAGCTGGTGCCAGGAACAGCAGAGAAGCCCCGTATTTGGGGATCCCTCCCAGGCCGGCAAGAGCCCTTTAATCGGGGGATGGCCTCGCCACCATAAACCAGGGCCGAGGAACCTAGAGCTGACCCAGTGTTTGTCATGCCAATCCCCAGAGAAGATGTTTTGCAAACACAGTTCCTTGCTAGAGGGTCAAGGGTCCTTGGTGGGATTAACAGCCACAGACATGCAAAGTCCGCAGCACCCGCCCGGGAACTGCAGAAGTGGGTGCGGCAGCAGAGCTGTGGACAGAGCCTCACCTGTGAAGCAGGTGGCCGCCCTGGATCAGGCGTGGTAGGGATCCTTGCTGGGGACCAGGTCTCAGGCTTGGTGCTCCACCTCCGTTACCACCTGCTGTGAGCCAGGCGTCCCACGGGCTGCCTAGGACAAATCAGAGAGCCAGTCCCTGCTCTGCCTGTGAGCACCTTAGGCCAAGTGTTATTATCCCCCTTTTATGGATGAAGAAACTAAGGCCCAGGGGGGTTTGAGTTGCCCAAATTCCCACCTTGGCTGTGCCCTGCTACCTCCCAGGTGCCCTTTCACGGCACCTTCCCCGCGTCTTCTCATTTGTATTCTGCTTTTCCATACTTCACTTTAAATTGTGAAATCTCAGAGGCATGAGGGTCCCTGGATGGAGGGTTCATTTCAGGCTGCGAGACAGTGTGGGAACTGCACGTCCCTTAATCTCCCTGGCCGGGTTTCCTCATGTCAACATAGGACGGTGGTTTGTGCCCTGTGCACCGTCGGAGGCCAGGTGGAGATGAAATGCCCTGTGCAGGGTGTCACAGCCACTAAGTACCCCCAGCCACAGCCGGGCTGTCCCGCAGCGCTCAGGGAAAAGGTGGTGCTGGCTTTGCCAGTTTCACAGGTGCCACCTTTTGCCGGATGCGCCACCTTGTGGCCAAAAAGCATATTGGCTTCAACAAGGTCAGGAAGTGGTTCCTGTGCAATTTATCCAGGATCCAGATGAGCAAAACATGCCCCACTTTCCTAGAATCCGAGTCCCGATGTGAAATTATTAACCAAGTACACTGAAAGCTGCTTGGCAGAAAGCTTCCTCCCTGGGACAGCAACGCCAGGAATGTGCTCCATTTTATTAACCCATTCCCCCCAAATGTCCCTGGAGGATGGGGCTCCCATCCAGGTGAGCTTTTCAGCAGGGTCCACACTAAATCTGCCACGCAGACGAACAGTGAAGGCCGGTGGCGACAGCTACTTGTTCGGGAGGAACTAGATTAGATTCGTAGTCCCTGAGGTTACATTTGTGTAACGTTTCACTAAGGGTTCTGTCCCTACACCTCCTCGGGCTGTTGCCTCCACTGACTGCAGAGGACCGCCCGCGTTTTCACGCTTTCTTACACGTCATCGTTTTCTTTGTGTCGACCACTAGCTAAGGAGCACATACGGCGTAACCGGCAGAGCCGGACCTTTCTGGTGGAGAATGTCATAGGAGAGATCTGGTCCGAGCTGGAGGAAGGTAGCGTCCTTGAACGTCCTTTGCCCTTGCTGGATCTGTGTGTGTGTGCATGCGCACGTGTGTGCTGCTGGCAAAGCTGCATTCCTGTTCTATTCCTTTTGCACTTTTGGAAAATGTTCAAAATCAGTCCGTTTTAAAGACTCCTCACCCAGGGAGAGCTCTTGTTGGGAGCTGTAATTTTGCATGTTTTAAAACTGCCTAGACTCTTCAGAAGAAAGGTAGAGATTGGAACCCACCAGTTCCAGGGTAAGTCTTCTGTGAAACAGTGGGTCATTTCACGGTGCTGCTCACTTGGCAGGGGGTTGTCCGCTTGCACGCGCCCCGTGCGCGGCAGCGTGTGCATGTGTGCGTGCTTCACGCATCTGGGTTCCTGATCGTCCGTGCTGCCCGTGCCCCCCAGCAGACATTATCGCCTTCTCTGGTCACGAATAACTCGCTGTGCAGCTGATTAGCAAGCCCACACTGCTAATGAGAAGGGTCGGGTCTACCAAGTCCTCACCCACCAGCTTGTTTCAGGGGTGGTTGACAGGTGGTCTATGTAAAGGATGGCTGTTTTTTTGTTTTTTTTTAAACCAGGGGACAAGTATGTGGTCGTGGACAGTGGCGGTGGCACCGTAGACCTCACAGTCCATCAGATACGGTTACCAGAGGGACACCTTAAAGAACTGTATAAAGCGACGGGTGAGCCCCTGCATGGCTGATTTTCTCCTCCCTGAGTGTGCCACTCATTTCGGACTTCTCTCAGCATTGTCTTGGTGGCACCAGCATGGGGGGTAGTCGGCAGGAGAAGGTCCTGGGGCTTATTTAACACTGGACAGCAAAGTGCAGTTCAATGTCCTTTAAAACACAAACCACCATGGCTGGGGTTTTGTCATAAAGGGAGCCTGTTGCAGATCCTGGCCAAGGAAGTTTGCTGCTGAAGGCTGTGGGGGTGACTGCAGCCTCGTGGCAGGTGTGACTCAGTGCTGTGGCTAAGCTGTCAGGAAGGTCCCGGAGCCCCGGGCGTGGGTCAAGATCGCCAAGCCACGGAACAGGCTCTTTCCCTTGGTCGGGGTGGGGCTGATGAGTGTTTAGTCCACGGGGCCTGAGGGAGGCCTGCCCGTGTTCCCGATCCTGTTCTTGGCTCTCTGCCATGGGAAAACCATGATACCCCAGTACCTTAAATGTATGGATCTTATTTAAAACATAGTTGATTTTAAACAGGTTGCTGACCAGGGATTTCTATAGGCACGCTCCATGAGTGATGGAAAGAACCTGAGTAGAAACCGGGCTGCGGCCCAGTGCTCGGGGGCCGGAGTCTGTGCTGCTCTGTGCCGGAGAAGAGCAGGAGCTGTCTCGGGGTCTGGGTTCAAGTCCTCACCATTCTCATCATTCTGTTCTTGATTCAGGCGGACCCTATGGATCCTTAGGAGTAGATTACGAATTTGAAAAACTTCTGTGTAAAATATTTGGAGAGGATTTCATCGAGCAATTCAAAATCAAGCGTCCCGCGGCCTGGGTTGACTTAATGATCGCATTCGAGTCTCGCAAAAGGGCGGCCGCCCCGGACCGAACCAACCCACTGAACATCACCTTGCCCTTCTCCTTCATCGATTACTACAAGAAGTTCCGTGGGCACAGCGTGGAGCACGCCTTGAGGAAGAGCAAGTGAGTGGGCCCAGGACCCTCCGGGGAGCGGAGTGGAGGGAAACTTCTCCTCTGTGGTTTGGTTACCCCGAAGTGTAGTTCAGTCAGAGAGACGAGACAAACGCTAGGTTCTTGCTTTCCGTTCATGAGATTTCTGTTTAAAAAAGTATTGATTTCATAGCATCCTACAAAGTGGCAAATGAACGTTGTTCTTTTGCTGGGGCACATGGGGAATAGCATTAAGAATTCGTGGGCTTAAGCATATTTGATGTATTTTAAACCAAGGCAGTTACATCCTTGGTGATGCGCATATTGGCCCGTCTTGGCCAGGGGGACCCCTTCAGGTTGGCTCCTGCGTCCCATTGGCGTGACCTGGTGGTCTGCACCGGGGCCCGCTGAGGGTGCTCCGGGCTCGTCTCGTGTGTCCCCCACTGCACCTGCAGTTGACTCCAGGTCTTCGCCCCTTGGAGCAGGGTCCTCGCCAGACTTAGGGGCTGATGTGCTCCCTGCACACGTCTCCTGCAGGAGGGCACCTGCTTCTAGTTGACTCCCACGTCCTGCCTGCGTGGGTCTGGGAAGACTGGCGCAGCCAGCCACTGGGCCACGCCACGCCACGCCACGCCGCCCTTTGGCCTAGGCCATGGAAAGAATTCCTGGTCGGAGACACGGCAGCATCCGCGATGTGGTGCTGGGGGGCAGCTGGCGTGTGCTTTGCTGCAGAGACAGACACCGTCTGTATGGCCCCTTGGAATGCTAGACTTGGGGGGCACAGACTGCACTCACCGCCCCTGGCTTTCCTTCAGCACTGGAAGTGGCCACAGTGTTTTCACAGACATGGCGTTTAACTTGATCTTCACAGCGCCCTCTGGGAGGGAGGTGCGGCTACCGGTGTTATCCTTGTCTGCAGACGCAAAGCCGGGGCTCAGAGGGAAGGCTCTCCCGGCCCCGTCGCTCCTGAGTGCCGGGGGCCGGCCCAGCCCAGCAGCCTCTGCTCCTCTGACGGAGACGGTGAGGGGCACGCAGGACTAGCTTGTCACCGTCCTGGGACAGGTGCTCCAGGCCTACACCCGAGCACACAGCTCGCCTTACGCAGCAGCACAGTGGACAGGGCGTGTGAGCCGTTAATGACTCACATCCAACTGTCGCTGAATCAAAACGTGGTCGCCCAGAAGAGTGTCCTTGGTGTCCTTGTCCTCTGCACTGGGTGTCAGCTTCCACTTCCAGGGCAGGTTGGCCGCAGTGAAGGCAAAGAGAAGCAGAGGCGGCGGCATCTTAGCTTTGAGTCCCAAGGGTCCAGGTCCTGGCAGATGAGGGTATTCTAGGGACTTTATTATTATTGTTTTATTGATTTTTTTTTTTTTTTTAGAGAGAGAGAGAAACATTGATGTGAGAGAGAAACATCAATCAGCTGCCTCCTGCACGCCCCCTACTGGGGATCGAGCCCACAAGCGGGGCATGTGCCCCGACAGGGAATCGAACCGGGACCTCCCTGTCCACGGGATGACGCGCAGTCCACTGAGCCACACCAGCTGGGCTACTTCCAGGGACTTTAAAACCCCTTTTTGCCCCTTGGACATGACAGCTGTTCTGCCAGGGCCCATGTCTGTGCCTGTCTGTGGGTGTAGTCCATACACTCACCACGTGTTCTCTGTGCTGTGCCCACAGTGTGGATTTTGTGAAGTGGTCCTCACAGGGGATGCTGAGGATGAGCCCAGATGCCATGAATGCCCTCTTCAAGCCAACCATCGACAGCATCATTGAGCATCTCCGTAAGTATTCGTCAGGCCTTGGCTGCTCCGGGCAGAGCCAGGAACGGGACTGACTTTTCCAGCCCCACGGACCACGCACGTGAAGTCGGGGGGCAGGGGGCCGGGGCCCTGGTGGAGTACACGAGCCCTGGCGTGTGCATGGGCAGTTGCTGGGCACAGGCTCCGGAGGCCGCCCCCCAGGAACTGCAAGCCGATGAGCGCCTGTCCCCACCCAGGCCTTCCCTCTGGCTTCACCGCAGGGCTGGGAGCTCTGTCACAGTTCTAGCCTCCAGCTATGGCCCGAGGAATGTAGTCTTGCGTCACGTGGGAAGGTTGGGAACCACACCCCTGGCAGGGGAGAAGGAACAGTTGTGTGAACCAAAGAAAGATCCCGTAGGAGGGGCGACGGCCTGGCCGAGCTGCCGTCTGCTGCCTCAGGGGCCTCGCCCAGGGGTACCCAGGAGCCTCCCTGGGACCCTTGCAGTATCCAGGCCGCCCACCCACTTCCTGCCCCTCACCTGCCAGGTCACAGCCCCTAGGGGTGGGATGGGATCTTTACGAAAACCAAAGAATAGTATTTATAACAGCCGGCCTGACTTCCTTAACAGAACCACTGCCCTGTTCGGGGTATTCCTTTATGCATCGCAAACGCCTGCTGGACATGGTCCCCGGCTCTGCGGAAGCGGGAGTCTGCTAGGCAGTAGTGTTCCTGAGCACACTGATGCGCAAGCCCCGCTCTGTGAGGCACCAGCCTCACAAATCCTGCTCAGACTAAGCCCGTCCTCCTGGGGCCCACGAGGCTGTGTCCTTCCCCAACCCTCAGGCCACCCAGTCCCCGGCTGCTGGTTTGGTGACAGGCCGTTGTCCCTCCCTTTTGCCTTCCAGGGGACCTGTTTCAGAAGCCCGAGGTGTCCACTGTCAAGTTCCTGTTCCTGGTGGGCGGCTTTGCGGAGGCCCCGCTCCTGCAGCAGGCCATCCAGGCTGCCTTTGGGGACAAGTGCCGCATCATCATCCCCCAGGACGTGGGCCTCACCATCCTCAAGGGCGCCGTCCTCTTCGGCCTGGACCCCGCCGTCATCAAGGTGCGCCGGTCCCCGCTGACCTACGGGGTGGGCGTGCTGAACCGCTACGTGGAGGGCAAGCACCCGCCCGAGAAGCTGCTGGTGAAAGATGGCACCCGCTGGTGCACCGACGTCTTCGACAAGTTCATCTCTGCCGACCAGTCCGTGGCCCTGGGCGAGCTGGTCAAGCGCAGCTACACCCCCGCCAAGCCCTCCCAGCTCGTCATCGTCATCAACGTCTACAGCTCCGAGCATGACAGCGTGAGCTTCATCACCGACCCCGGGGTGAAGAAGTGTGGCACCCTCCGCCTGGATCTCACGGGGACCAGCGGCACCGCGGTGCCCGCCCGGAGGGAGATCCAGACCCTCATGCAGTTCGGGGACACCGAGATCAAGGCTACGGCCATCGACGTAGCCACCTCCAAGAGCGTCAAGGTTGGGATCGACTTCTTAAATTACTAACCGGCCCTCCCTGTCACCGGTCCCCCTGGACTCCGCTCACCTGCATCTGCTGACCTCAACCCTGACTGTTCTTTCCCTGCCCTTGACCTTGACGACGCCCGCCTGGATTTCAGCAGGGACGATGAGACCAGGGCTAGAAATAATGAGGGATTTTGGAGGGCACACTGGAGTCAGAACAACCGCCGGGAAATTAGCATTGAGGTTTGGGAATAAGAAATCCAGGGATCCTGGAAGAGCAGCTGGTTTCGAGGGTCCCAGGGGTGAAAGCCCCCCGCAGGGGGTCCGTGCGCTTCTGCAGGGGGGAGCCCACGCCGCACACCTCGCTGTCCTTCTGGATTCCACAGGAGCGCTTTGCGCCGGGAGGAGAGTCTTCGTCCCTCTGAGGCTTTTCTTCCCACGTTGTCCTGGGTGGCAGGCAGGCAGCATAGAATGCCAGCCATCTGCAGTTCGTTGCTTTTCCTCGACACGCGATAGAGAGTGGAGTCGGTGGGAGGCTGGAGCTGTGTAGCGGTGGGAGAAGGCTGCCGACGCTGGGCGCTATTTTAGGTTCTCACAGTTTCGATTCCAAATCGGTCCCTGAAGAACAGTAGCCGGGCAAGTCTGCGGGGACGTGTGAGTGGGAGGGGACGGTGTGAGTGGGAGGGGAGGTGTGAGTGGGAGGGGACGGTGTGAGTGGGCGATGCCTCGACTCCTCAGCGGGTGAAACCTGCTTCGACGGAAGTGGACATGGAAGGTCACATGCCGTGTCATTTTCGGCCAAGTCCTGATTTCTGAATTCATAAGTCATTCGGGTTAACCTGAGGAGGACTTTTGGGGAAGAAAATGAAGTTGCCATTTGCCCTGTTCACATCACCAGGCCCAGGGTCCGGAACAACTCCTCACTTTGACAAACATGCATATTTTAAATTAACTCCCCCGCCCAGCTCACCCTTATCCCCCAAAGGGGTTGGCCAAGTATCCCTCCATTTTCAAAGGAATAGGTCGTTGGTTCGCGGCCAGTGAATCTGTTCTACGAAATGTTTTATTAAAGTCATCAGTTTTTAAAGTCTGTCCAAAAGGAATCCGTAGATCTATACTTGATGGATTAAGCCAGGTGTTTTTCTTTCTTTCTTTTTTAATCCTCATCCAAGAATAATTTGTCCATTTCTCTTTAGATAGAGTGAAAGGGAAGGAGAGGTGGGGCGGGGGAGAGAGAGAGAAACACTGATGTGAGAGAGACACACTGATTGGCTGCCTCCCGCACAACCCTAGCCAGGGACCGGGAAGAACCGCAACCGAGGTACGTGCCCTTGGCCGGAATCAAACCCGCGACTCTTTGGTCCATGGGCTGACGCTCTAACCGCTGAGCCAAACCAGCCAGGGCAAGCCAGGTGTTTTCAAAGTAGATCTGTGAGTTACCTGCATGAGGATGCTGGTTCAAAACGGGTTCCTGGAAATGCAAGTTACTATATTGTCCCCTGGGAACTGTTACAACTAGGAAAGTACGGTGTACCAACTATACGTAAATAAAAAACAAAACAGTTTCCTGCACCCCGTCCCTTTTACGAACTGAAGTCAAGTGTTGGAGCGGGGACGGGAATCTGCGATCTTCAGGAGACGCCAGTGAAATCCGAGAACTCCGCGCTTTCGGATTTTGTCGCAGACCAGAGCCTGCAGCCTCCCGTCTTCCCGTTCGGGCTCCCTTGGGGAGAGGGTTTGCAAGAGCAGTGATCCCACACCTGCCCTCTTGTGAGTGGGGCTGAGGTCCCACCTGGCTTCAGGATGGTGCTTTGAACCCTCCCAGGAAGGGCCAGGGGAGAGGTCGAAAGGAAGGCGCCGTAAAAAGGGCTGACAGTAACCAGCTGGTGGGGTCTGCGTTCCCTCCTTCCTTCCGCACTTGCAAAGACAGCCTTCTCCAACGTTCAGGGACCAACTGAGGGAGAAGAACCCAGGATCTGACTCACCGCCCATCTGATCTGCTCAAAGCTGTCTCTTCCGCCTGCTAGAGTTCACTGGAGTTTCATCGCTGGGGCGTGCATGCCGCACCAGGGGGAGCGAACTAACTGAGCGCGCACCGGATTCAGGAACCCCTCATCGCAGCCCATAGCCGATCTGAAATAGCATTTTTAATGCCATTTTTACATGTCTCTGTCACCTTGCCTGCTGCAGAATTCCCTCGTAGAATGTGAACCCCAGCAAACCAAGGAACTGGGGAATGCTGGTCACACAACAGCCACAGGCTCACTCGTCCGGGCACGAAGGCGTGTTGGCCAGGGTCTTCTTGCTGCCTGCTCTGCTTCAAATGCTGTGTGTCCTGGGTCCCTGGTGTTGCCAGCCATACTCTACAAATAAGACCTTTCAATTTAGTTACAAGTATAATTTTATGTATATACAGTATTAGAATATGATACAGATTCTTTATTTCTACAATGTACTTTTCTTGTTTAAAAAAAAAAAGGAAAATGCTCTCTGAATTTTGTTGGTGATATTGCTGCCTTTCATTTTCCATGGTTTCATTTCTTAATTGTTCTTTACTGCTCATCGGTGTGTACCACTATCAAGCTATGGACTGTGTACGCAAGACTGAGCAATAGACAGAGGTGCCTGGGGTCAGAGTATTCAGAACAAATGAACCACCTGGTCAACAGCTTCATCAGACCTTTCCACACACACATATTCTTCCCAAAGGGTCTCCATTTATTTTTAAAAAGCATAATAATGTATCGATCCTCCTGTCCAGTCTTTGAGAGCTGAACTTTTGGATTCTGTAAGCAAAGTGACCATGCAGAAAAAGCTACGGAAACTCTTTGCGTCCCAGTAGGCTGCCCCCCTCTCCTTGTGGGGCAAAGTGATCACTCTGAGGGCAACGTGTAGTCCACTGTGTCCGACGTCTTCGGGACACCCACAGATCCAGCTTTTCCCCTGGGTTCAGTGTAAGTGTGGGTCATAGAGTCAAGTCCCTCTTTCTTTGGCTGACGGAAGGCCTTTCCCGCCTTGTACTAAGGCTGTCTCCTATTTCTCTTAAAGTGAGCTGGTTGAAATCTGTAGTGTTGGCAAATGGAGGATAGAGAGGGAGAGATCATATTATTGGACTTTCTTCTGGCCCTAGAGATGCAGCCCCAATAATGGACCTCCGACGAAGGAATCCCCAAATCCACCCCTCCCCTCTCTCCCCCCACAGAAATATTCTAGAGGGAGAGCTCTGGGTATGTACACCTGGACACATTCCCTAATCTTAGAAAATTTCCGAAGGGCCTGGTGTCTTGCCACACGCCTCGATTGTCCCTGGCTTATTATCTGATGTTCACCTTGCCCGGAAGCAGAGCTGTCAAAGGATTTCCTTTGTAACCGCCCTTCCTGGGCACAGCAGGCATTAATAAATGCTGAATGACAGACACGTTACAGACAGATGAGATAGGAAAGAGGAGGAGACATAGGAGTGTTTTTGCTTGGTGGCTGAGACGCGTCCAGATTCCAGAGCCTGCCCTACCCCTAGATGATATTTAGATCAAGTTTAGCTTTAGAGTGCAGGTCTGGTTAACTGCCCGGGGGCAAAGAATAGCATGCACCAATATAAACAGGAGCCAAAACGCATTGTTAGTCGATGATCGAACTGCACATTGTAGAGACGAAATCGCTGTGATAAAGCTGCATATTTATGCTGGGAAATGGCTTAACTGGATGACTAATATAAAAGTTGTTGGCCGTAATGTTACACCTCTCGTCCGCTTGGAATAGGAACTATATTCTAAAATGGGTCTTGTTCAAACTTCACAGAACTTCGCAGCAATTCACGACCCGACAAGGTTGTATCTGCAAACTCTTGTCTTCACAGATGTCTAATAAAACAAAACTCTGGATCTCATGTGGCCCAGACTTTTTTTTGGGAGGGGGCACTCTGAATGTGTAAATGGAATTTTAGATACATCATCCCCCCCCCGCCCCCTTGCCCCATCTCAGGTGGAGGTAGATTTTTCAGGTCCTTTCTAGGGGTTGTAAGCTTCATTAGCTTTCATTCCAACAAGACTGGCCCCTTTGTTCGCTGGGTAGGAAGGCCGGTCAATGTCCACAGGCCCCTTTCCCTCCCAGCCGATGGAAGTGGTCTAGCCAGAGAGAAGGCGGGTAAGCCAGCGGCCCCTGGCAACTCCACGGCACCCAGACCAAGGTCAGGGACGGTGCCTGGCACTCTGGCGTCCTAGCAGGCACACCAGACTGGCTTCTGCATCCAGGGCCTTGGGTTTATTCCAGGCTCCATGTCTGGGGCACCCTCCAGAGTTGGCTCTAGAAGCTTCTGGAGGGTGAGGTGGGGAAGGCTGAGGGCAGTAAACAAACCTGTGTCACCAGACAGGCCTCCACTTCCTTCTGTGCAGGGAGCATTGGGGACCAGCAGTCTGGCAAGGCCACGAATCCCCTCTGAGTCACCAGGGGCACCTGGGGATCAATCCAAGGAGGTGAAGGCTCAGCCCCTCCCCCATCCCTTCATTTGGGTCATTACCCCCTACGGCCCTGGTCCTGTCCCGCCCTCCGGAAATCCATCTTTCCCAGTAGACAGGTGGCCGGGCCGGCGGGAGAGCCCAAGGTGCGCCCTGTAGTTGCAAGGCCCAGGCTGCTTCGTGCACCGGCCAGTCCCTCACGGCACCGACTCTTGGACCCCACTGGGAATGAGGGTGGGGGCGTGTTCCGGGCCCCCCTCTTCCTCCCACCAGGACCCTGGGGCTCCAACCCAGGCCACCACATCACTAACAGTTCGACCTGGATCCCTTCGCGTGCCCCCCACCCCGCCCCGGTTCCAAAACCCAGAGGGCCTGGCTGGGAGGACCGAGAACGGAGATCAGCTCAGAAGACCAGGTATTTGCGGGGCCGAGGGGGAAGCGCCCCCACGTTCACTCGGGTTCACTGGGCTCCCTGGCCCCCGGGTGGGGTTGCTGGAGGGTGGGGATGGGTGAAGGAGCCGGCTGGGAAGCCCACCCCGCCCCTCTCCCTCCCCCGCCCCGCCCCGCCCCGCCCCTCTCCCTCCCCGCCCCGCCCCTCTCCCTTTCCCCCGCCCCCCCGCCCCTCTCCCTTCCCCCGCCCCGCCCCTCTCCCTCCCCGCCCCGCCCCTCTCCCTTCCCCCGCCCCGCCCCTCTCCCTCCCCCGCCCCGCCCCTCTCCCTCCCCCGCCCCGCCCCTCTCCCTCCCCCGCCCCGCCCCCCCCCGGGGGGGGGGGGGAGGTGAGCGCACAAAGAACCCACCGGGCGGGCGGAGGCCAGAGGCCGGGCGTAGGCAGGTGGCTCGGTGGGGCCGGGATCCAGGACCACCCAGGTGAGCGGCTCGGGAAGGGCTCAGGAGGAGCAGGTGGGTGTCGGTATCCGCACCTTCTGACCCCATTGCCTGGCCCCCAATCCCCTGCACACGTCCTCTCCAAGCTCCTGGGGTCCACCCCCTCCAGGCAGGCCTGGGGCGGAGACCGCAGATGCCCAGCCGCCACCATCGGTGCTGGGCACGCCCCCCCCCCCCCCCCCAGCAGCTCACTTTTGAATAACAAAATCCTGCTCCTCGAAGTTTAGAGGCGGTCCCTTCATCCTCCCTAGACGCGACACCCCTCAAGTCACTTAACCTCTCTGTGCCCCCCCTCCCTCCCCCCCCCCCGTTGGGATCCCAGTAGGGACTAAACTAAACCTTAGGGAGGCTGTGAGGACTTGACAGGCATTCAGCCATGGCCCCTAGCAAGGGGTTTATAAATGTCTGAACTGTTTCAAAAATTCCCATCACCGCCTACCAAACCCGAGGGGCCCTCCGCTCACCCCTGAGGCGGTTTGTCGGATGGGGCATCACTTTTAAGCTGGCCTGGCTGGTAGGACCTGGCAGCATCCAGGCATGTGAGATGCTGGTCCTGGCCACGGTGGGGTGGGGACCACAGGTCATCCCTGAGGAGGGCAGGGGTCTGGCTGTGCCGACAGCATCCACACACACTGATACTAGAGCGCCCCCTCCCCAACCCTCTGCCACCCACCTTGGACTCCATGCCAGCCTTCTGGGATTTCTGATCCCTCCAGCCAGAACTTCCGCTGATTCTTTCTTGTGGGGACTCCTGTGCCTTGCAGGGTGCTGAGCTGCATCCTCGGCCTCTTCTCACTAGATACCAGTAGCACCCCACCCCCAATCTGACCTGCCAGACGCCCTGAGGTGGGGGGCCATGGGCAGCAAAGATCACCACTGAGACCTGATTTCCCTGATGAAGAAAGGCTCTGGGGTGAGGGTGCCTCACTTCCCCTCCCCCAAGGTTCCTGAGTCTTACATGGGGGCTCCTGGGGCTTGTGATTTCAATTCCTAACTCTCACCATTGGTGGGCATGGTGTGTGCAGTTCATGATGGTCAGATGGGAGGTTGTTGGTGAGGGTGGGGCGAGGCCCCAGGGCAGGGAGACACTGGTGGGTGGTGACCTGCACACCTGTTATCTAAGTCCATGTAAGAGGTGCAGGCCCCTTGCTTTTATCACAACCCCCTGACCAGCTCACTGCACGCCCAGAGGCTCCAGCTCACTTGCAGTGAGTTCTTAAAGCAGGGACATCGGGTGAGAAGTTCATTCCCTCTTCCTTTTATTAGCAGAAAGCAAAATCATGGAGTCTTCCAAGATCTTCATGAGACAGCTGCCGGTCACACCGGGCTACAGTGGTAAGTGGTGACATGCCCTGCAGAGATGTGCCTGGCACGGGACCCATAGTCCTGGCTTCTGTCCCTACCCTGGCCCACTGTCCATATCTGTCTGGCCAATTGGTTTTTAAGATACTTGTTAAGAGTGCCCCATTGCTGAAGATGGCTGATAACGGGATTTTGGTAAATGGAGAGAGATAACTTGGGCCCGACCTCCCAGGACATGACCTGGTGTGTCGGAATCTCTGCATTAATGTCCGACAAACCCATTTGGACCAGACTGGACACCTGCTGAGGCCCTTCTTCCCAACTTGGGCTTTCTCAGGTTTACAGTAGGACCGTGTTTGGGGTCCCATTGCTTCTTGTATCCCCTAGAGGGAGGGTGGCCAGCTGCCCTGGTTTGCCCAGAATGGTCCCGGTTTTAGCACTGAAAGTCCTGTGTTCCAGAAAATGCCTTCGTCCTTAGCACCTGGACAATTGGTCACCCTACCTAAAGGCTTCTGGTGTACTGAGAACTTACTAGTCACATCTCTGTGACAAATCCAGTGGCCCTCACTCAGCTCTCACACACAAGTGTTCTTAGGAGGGGAGACACAGGGGCATATTCCAAGGTTGCCCAGCCTCACCCTGCTTCTACTGGTTGATTAAGAGAACAGGCTTTGAGTTCTAACCAATTGAGGTTCCAGGTTCTGCCTGGCTATTGTCTGTGTGATTGTAAGTAAATTACTTCCCTCTCTATGGTAAGTAAAAATTTCTATAAAATGGGTGTGTTCATTTCCTAGGCTGTCATTTAAAACCACAGATACATGTTATCTCGCAGGTCTGGAGGCTAGAAGTCTGAAATGAAGGTGTCAGGAGGGTCAGCTCCCTCTGAAGGCTCCAGGGGAGGACCCTCCCCCACCTCTCCCAGCTGCTGGTGCCCGGGGCATTCCTGGCTGGTGGTGGCTCCAGGGGAGGACCCTCCCCCACCTCTCCCAGCTGCTGGTGCCCGGGGCATTCCTGGCTGGTGGTGGCTCCAGGGGAGCCCTCCCCCACCTCTCCCAGCTGCTGGTGCCCGGGGCATTCCTGGCTGGTGGTGGCTTCGCTGCAGTCTCTGCCTCCATCTGCCCACGACTCTTCCTGGGGCCTTCTGCCCTGTGTCTGTGTCTGTGTCCCAAATCTCTGTTCTTTCTTTTTGTAAGGACACCTGGCACTGGATTTAGGGCCCACCCTAAATCCAGGGTAATCTTGTTTCCAAATCCTTAATCACATCAGCAAAGATAAGGACACATTCATAGGTACCAGAGGTCAGAACTTGTATAAATGTATTTGGGGGACACAGTTCAACCAACTGCCTGGGGTATTAGTGGATTTTGTAAGATTGTCATGAGGATTAAAGGAGCCGCATATACAACCTATTTAAAATGTCTTGGCTCTGCCCTGGCCGGTTTGGCTCAGCCATTAGAGCGTCGGCCCGAGGACCAGAGAGGGACCAGAGAGGCCCGGGTTCAGTTCCCACTACGGGCATGGATCTCCGTTGCAGGTTGTCCCTGGTCCCAGTTGGGGTCATGTGAGTGGCGACCACTCTATGTGTCTCTCTCACATCCATGTTTCTCTCTCTCTTCCTCCTTCTCTCCCTCCCACTTCATCTCAAGATAAATGTAAAAAAAAAATGTCCTCGAGTGAGGATAAAAATAAATAAATAAATACATAAATAAATAAATAAATATAAAACGTCTTGGCCCTTAGCAAGACTTAATAAAAGGAGCTGGTATTCCTGTCTGCGTGCACCTGTATGATTATATAAAGTCTGTGCAGGTCAAAGTAGGCCCTAATGGAGCAGAAGCCACTGTGCAAGGCCCCTGGCCTTTTCCAGCCCCCTCCCATGACATCGGGCATGTTTTAGGGCCCAGGGATTGAGGAGACTGGATGGTGGGTGGAGGACTTCAAGATCAGTCTAGCAGCCAGATTCTTCTTAGAGGTGGCCGGGGGTGGTCGCTGCCTTCTGCTCTGAAGCAGGTTTTCCTTACCCAGGGACAAAGGCAGATTGGCTGGGCTCCAGTCCTGAGAGTGAACTTATTTTGCAGTTTAAAACCAAGTTCTTAATCAGTTTGTCCCCATCTGTTCTTTTTTTAAAGTGGTTTCATTGTGACAATATTATAGTACTTAGGATTTCAGCGTCCAGTCTGAATAAATAGTTGTGCCTTACCCATTCTAATTGTAATGATTATCTGTGATTTTGTGGGAAATGGGGAAAAATTGTCTGAGGGGGTGGGTCTCACAGATGATGAATTCACCTTTGTGTGTGATAGGCCTCTGCTTGCAAAGAAGCCCTCAATTTTCTGATGGTCCGACAAGCAAATCCCAAATTGCATTTGGGAAGTGTCAAGGAAAATAAGCTTTCTCTCTAAAAAGACGAATAATTTCCATTATTCCTCAGACTATCATTTTGGCCCATTGCACGCTTCCCCCATGTACTGTTCAGGCTGACACTGGGGGCTTCGCCAGCAGAGAGCATTGCTGTCATCGCCTTTGTTGAAACGGGCCTTTCCTCCCCAGCTCCAAGGTCATTTTCGGTGGCCCTGGGAGGGCCCAGCCGCAGTGGAGACAACAGCCCCGCTTGTTGTAATGGCCTTTGGAGAAATGCGCTGTTGTGGGCCAAGGGAGAAATACCAAGTTACGGGCTGAGATTCAGGGGTGCTCGGCAGACTCTCAGCTCTGCTGACGGCCGTGATTCCCCCGGCTCTCGCAGGCTTCGTCCCGTACCTGAGCTGCGAGGGGACCTCCAGCGAGGGACACATGTCCCAGTGTCTGCACACCTTCCGGGAGAAAACCCAGCAATACAGAGACCAGCTGAAGGAATTCCACTGCTCGGTGGCTGCGGCCCCGAAACTGAAGCCCATCTGCTCCGAGGAGACGGTCCTGCGGGCATTGCACCAGTACTATCGGCAGCACCACCCCTTGAGTCTGGGTACCGGCTCCCCGAAAGCAGCCTCTTCCCCCCCGGGCCCAAGGGCAGGGCCTGGCAGGCCCTAGGAGCTGCCACAGAGAGCTCAGAATTCAGCACTGTCCAAAGCCCCAGGCAGCGGTCAAAATGGAAAGACCGAGTTTCTTAAAATGAGAAACGCACCTTTCCAGGGAAAGAAGGGTGCAGGTCAGGGGACAGGTGCTGGCAGCTCAGAGCCCCGAGGAAGTCACCACAGGCTCAGGCAGCTGCCGCCTCTGCTGTCTCTGTGCGGGCACCCCTGCTTCCTGACACCCACCCACAGGAGCCCCGTGAGGTCCACACCGCCATTCTCACTTTGGAGACGGGGAGCTGACGCTTCGAGAGGGAGTGTCCCGTGTCTGAGGTCAGACCTGGGTTTGAACCCAGCTCCTCCCGGGACGGGGCTTTGCACTGAATAACAGCCGCACAAACAACGGATAATATAATTCTGTGATGTTAATAATCACAACAGTGATTTATTTGCCCTAGACCCTTTTCCAGGTCTAATGGCTTCTGAAAAGTAATGGGCTGATTGCCTTTATTATTATTACTAGAATTCTTTGGGGACTTTCAAGAACATGTTTTATGCTTTAAAATTTTCCAAGGCGTTGCAAAGAGCATTTGCCTAAGGGTTTGGGATCTAGCCCAGCTCTGCAGCTACTTGCTGTGTGACCTACGGCAGGTTGGTTCCCCTCTCTGGGCTCCGATTCCTTCATCTAGGGACTGGATGCTCCCTAGGGTGCCTTCCAGCACTGTGGCTGCGGGACTCAGTTGCCTAATTCCATTTCTATAGCAGCTGGAGGAGGCAGACGGGCAGTAAGCTCATCTCACAAACGTGAGCTTGCCCAAGGTCAGCCAGCCAGCCAGAATCGCTTAGGACCTGCAGGCAGGTTCCCGGTGCTGAATCTGCTCTGCTTTCTCCAGATCTGGATCTTCTCTTGATTCCTTTATTTGTTTTTTTTTTTTTTTTTTTGGTACGTTCCCTTAGCAAGAACCAAACCCGGGACTCTCTGGTCCATAGGTCAATGCTCCAACCACTGAGCCAATCCAGCCAGGGCTCTTGATTCCTTTATGTAAAGGGTTCGAGAGCAATGTCTGAAGCTTTTAGTCTGAGGAAGCAGCAGGATTTGTTTAAGAGCAGATCAGGTGGATCTGACAGATCAGACTGGTGAGGGTTCAACTCTTGGCCCTACCACCCTTGCTGTGTGACCCTGGCCAAATCTCTTTTTATCTCTTTATTTAAATATTTTTTTCTTTATTGATTTTTAGAGAGAGAGGAATGGACAGGGAGAGGGAGACAGAAACATGGATGAGAGAGAAAGAACATCGATTTGCCATCTCCTGCATGCCCCCCATTGGGGATCAGGCCCACAACCTGGGCATGTGCCCCGACCGGGAATCGAACCAGCGACCTCCTGTGCATGGGTTGACGCTCAACCACTGAGCCACATCGGCCAGGCTCTTTTTATTTCTTTAAAGTCTCAGTCTCCTCCTCCATAAAGTAGAGGTAATAACAGCACCAACTTCTTACAGTTTGTGAGGGAATGAAGCGAGAGGCTACACAGATTGCTCCTCCCATGGTTCCTGGCACAGAGAACCAACCAGCGGTGGTAGCTGCCGTTAGGACATCCATAGGCCTAGGGGTTCACCAGGCATGACTGTTGGGGTTCCAGATAACTTGGGAGCACTGCCCGGGGTATGGCTTCTCCAAGCCTTCAGGAAGCATGGTGTCTCTTTGCAGAAAGCAAATGCATAAAGAAACCTCTGCAGGAGCCCCCGATCCCTGGCTGGGCGGGCTACCTGCCCAGAGCCAGGGTCACTGAATTAGGCTGCGCCACCCGGTACACTGTCATGGCCAGAAACTGCTACAGGGACTTCCTGGACATCGTGGAGCAGGCCAAGAGAGCGCACTTGAAACCGTATGACGAGTGAGTCTGGCCGGGGCACAACCACAGTGACAAGGGGAGAGGATCTGGGCCAGGGGTTCCCGTTGCCCCACCCCAGCACGAAGACTATGTCTGCCTTGTCTTACACGGGCCTGGCTTGTAACTGCAGGGCCTTCCTGGCAGTTGGCCACCCTCTGTCCCCACCCGTGCCCAGCATTCTCCGCCAGTCCTGCTTGTGGTCTTTACTGGTTTACAGGGAAAGGCTGGGAGGGAAAACCAACAGGGCTACCACCGCGGCAGCAACCTAAGGCCCGAGGGCGCCGGGGCGGGCGATGGTAGGGCACTGCACAGGGTGGCTCACGTGGCCTCAGTTTTCCCTTCTGTAAAATGGACACGAGGGTCCTTACCTTTAGGATGAATGGTGAGGATTAGAAATAAACATACCGTACTCACACTGGGCCTACATAGATGATATTTATTCTTATTTTTATTATTAATAAAAAGTGACTTTGTGACTTTGTTCATACTTTAGAATATATGGAGTTCGGGCCACTCAGCCTCCTCCCGCTCCCTCTCCAAAGGCTTTGCAGCAGGAGGGGCTGCTGCCCAAATACCCGGACTGTTCTATTCCAGGTAAGGCAGGGCTCTCTCCCCCTTCCTGCTGTTCTCAGAACGGGCATGAAATGTGTGCACTGGCCCCTCTGCCTCTCTGGACCTCCTGCCTGCAGCTCGTGGGGATGGTTTCTCTTCCAGGTGGTAGCTGTCCTGCCCTCGGAAGAGCCCTGGGAGAGGACCCCAGACCTCCGGTGACTTGTGGCTGTGCCCAGGGGCAAAATCTATTGACCACGGGAAGAGTGAGCGGCAGCCCCTGTCCTCAGCCAAGTCTGCAGAAGGCTAGCTGCCGAGAGCCTCTCAAGGAGAACTGAACTCTAGGGGGCGCCCAAACGCTCACCATTCCTGAAGAGAACCAGCCCCTCACCCACACCCCACTAGAACTAGGGAAATTTCACAGCATAAGAATCCTTTCCCCTGCGGCCGGCACCCTGACTCATTGGCCACAGCGTGTCAGGAGCGATGAAGACCTTTTATGGTCGTGTGGGAATAAAGGGGACACACTTCTCAGCATGCCTAGGGCCTTCTGTTGGGTTTTCCCAGATCGTAGTGACCTTGAGAAGAGCCAGGGTGGGGCTGGTAAGTCACCTGGTGCGGCTGGACCAGGCTGTGATGGAAGCCTAGCCCTGCCCTCTAACCTGGCGGTCCCCACCAGCCATCTTGGGTCCTGAGCTGGTAGTCCCAACACTGTCCCGGGCGCCACACCCCCCCAACCTGGGTTTTCAGAAGCCCAGGCCCCAGGAGAGCCGGCTAGGGGGAATCCTTCCTTGCCTCTTGCCACCTCCAGATGGTTTGGTGGCAACCCTTGGTGCCCCTTGGTGCATAGCTCCAGTCTGTCTTTATCATCGCACCCCTCTGTGTCTTTGTGTTATCATATGTCTGTCTTCTTATTAGGACACTGGTCACATTGGATTAGGGTCCCACCCTTCCCCAGGATGACTTCATCTAAACTTAGCTAATGACATTGCAACGACCCTGTTTCCAAATAAGTCACATTCTGATGTGCCAGGGATTAGGACATCAACGTATCTTTTTGGGGCGACACAATTCGAGCCCTGACACTGGCTAAATTTCTCCCACTGACTGGTGCTCCCTGACCTCGCGCTGGAGCCAGTGGCTCTCAGAAGACACGGAAGCAGCTGCTGGGGCCGGGAGGCCATTGGCACAGAGACTCGGAAAGGTACAGAGCCGGAGCTGTAGTGAGCGACTGCGGGGGTCTTTCCACCTGGGCTTCCTGGACCTCTGGGTAGGAATCGGGAGTCAAATCTTAGATGTTGACAAGAAAAAATAACTTTGATGAGAAAAAAACGTTACATCTTTGTTTTCACCGACCTCTAAGTGAAATTTACTATTGTCTGCATTTATGAGTATAGGGAACACACCACAGCCGTACCTGTCACCTTAGGCCAATAGAAATCACAGATCTTTTCACATCTCATGACATTTGTTACAAACAGCTGGAAATAATGTCAATACCGATCACCACTTTATAATTACTGTAATTCTTTTTTTTATCCTCACCCGAGGACATTTTTTTATTTTTTGTTCAGATAGAGTGGGAGGGAGAGAAAGGGAAAGAGAAAGAGAGAAACATTGACGTGAAAGGGACACATCAAGTGGTTGCCACCCGTATGACCCAACCAGGGCTGGGGACAAACTGCAACCGAAGTGCATGCCCTTAGCGGGAACCGAACCCGGGACTCTCTGGTCCATAGGCCAACGCTCCAGCAGCTGAGCCGAACTGGACAAGGCTAATTACTGTAATTCTCAAAGCCACTATAGTTTCGTGCATTGTTATTTAGTATATGTATAAGGAAACATGCTATTTCACAAGTTTATTATTTATTTATTTATTTATTTATTTTAAACTCATCTTTATTGTTGAATGTATTACAGATATCTCCCCTTTCTTTCCCCATTGACCATCCTCCCCAATCCTGCCTCCCTCCTGCCTTCCGCATACTATTGTCAGTGTCCATTGGTTATGCACTAATGCATAGTTCTTTGGTTTATCTCATCCCATCCCCCTTCCCTTTGAGGTTCATCAGTCTAACAACCTATTTATACTTCTTAATTCCTTCATCTTTTTCTTTTTAATCCTCACCTGAGGACATTTCTCCATCTTTTATTCAGCTAGAGCAAGGGGTGGGGAGAGAGAGAGAGAGAGAGAGAGAGAGAGAGAGAAACATCGACGTGAAAGGGACACATTGAGTGGTTGCCACCCGCACCACCCATCCAGGCCTGGGACTAACCGCAACTGAAGTACATGCCCTTAGCGGGAACCGAACCCGGGTCTCTCTGGACTGCAGGCCAATGCTCTAACTGCTGAGCCAAACCGGCCAGGCCTCCTTCATCTTTTTCAGCCATCCCTCCAGCCCCTGCCCATCTGGCAAGCAACAAAAATTTCCCTGCATCTATGAGTCTGTTTCTGTTCTGCTTGCTCATTTTGTTTGTAGATTCAATTGTTGATAGATATGTATTCATTGCCATTTTATTGTTTATATTTTTGTTCTTCTTCTCCTTCAAGAAGACCCTTTAACATTTCATTTTGGCTGCCTCCCTGTGTTTGTTTCAGTGTGTTACTTAACAAGAGATATGGGGCTAGCTGAGACCGGATGCTGCTTGTTTGAAAGAATTTAGGAAAACCTGAAGCAGGATCCAAGACAGGCCAATCCTATGGTTAAGCAACTGGCAACAGCTTGGGTGGGCCTGAAAGTTGGGTGGGGCAGGGCGGGGCCTCAGGGAGTCAGCAGGGTGGGGCTACCAGTGTGAGCCAGGTTGCTGGAGTCCCAGATATGGCTGCTGTCTGCTGCCCCAGGAAAGGGCTCACCAAAGGAACATCAGCCTCCTCCAGCACGTCTGTCCAGGAGAAAGTCGCCTCTCCAGCCTTTGTCCTGAGGCCAAACAGCTCAAGTCTCTGGCGCCCCTTGAGCTGCCTCCCCTCCAAGCTTAGAGGGAGCTCGTCCAAGTAAGTCTGTGCGCGGGCCTTTTAAAAGGAGCTGCCTGGGGCTTCAGCCGCCCCAGCCTCCCTGAGCCTCAGTTCCCGCTGGTTTTCCAGCCAGAAGTGATGGGGATTCTCTTCCTGGCACTGGAACCCTGAGCTGGGTGCCTGGTGTGGGATGGGGACCCCTCAGTCCTCAGGGAAGACCTTCCCAGCCCAGGTGTCCTCCTGATTTTTATCCGCCACACGTGGGTGTGGGACCAGCCAGTCCCCTCTGCCCTCCTACCAGTCTCGATGCGGCTGCTGCTTTAATTCCGTAGTTGTAGGACTTCCATTCAGCTGGATGTCAGGCGGTTCTGAAGGATGTTTGTTCCGTAGTTCAGTTGTCACTTTGATGTGGTTGTGGGAGGACACGATACCGCGTTTACCTACACCGCCATGCTGACCAGAAGCCTCACAAATTAATTCATTTTATATTTGGATACTATTTCAATATAATTAGTTTCCTTTGTCATCGCCTGTATTTTACTTTACATTTAAAAACATTATTCTGTCCAGGCCAGTGTGGCTCAGTCGATTGAGCATCGTCCTGTGGACTGAGAGGTCCTGGTTCGGTACCCTGGTCAGGGCACATGCCCAGTTGCAGGCTCGATCCCCAGTAGGGGGCGTGCAGGAGGCGGCCAATCAATGTATCTCTCACATCGATGCTTCTATCTCTAGCTCTCTCTCTCTAAAAACATCAATAAAAACATATTTTAAAGTAAATAAAAACATTATTCTGAGAAGAAGCTTCCAGTTTTCACCAGACAGCCAGAGCATCCCTGGCACAGAAAAGGTTAAGAACATTTGGCCAGAGAAACAACCAAGGATGTGTGTAAAGAGTGAGTGTCAGCCCTGGCCGGTTTGGCTCAGCGGTTAGAGTGTCGGCCTGCGGTCCTGAGAGACCCGGGTTCGGTTCCCGCTAAGGGCACGTACCTCGGTTGCAGTTTGTCCCCGGCCCTGGTCGGTTGTGCGGGTGGCAGCCACTCGATGTATTCCTTTCACATCGATGTTTCTCTCTCTCTCTCTGTTCCTCTCTCTCCCTCCCACTCTACGTGAACAAAAAATGGAAAAATGTCCTCGGGTGAGGATAAAAAAATAAATAAAATAAATAAGAGTGAGTGTCATACAAACAGAACAACCCAAACCCCCTGGGACCTGGGATTACCGTCTCTCCAATTATTAAAAATAATGTGATAGAAGAACACTGTTGTAGAAAAATATTTATGACACAGTACATGCCAAAGACAGGCGTAATGACAGCAAACCTATGTGTCTACACACACACACACACACACACACTGAAATCCTGCGTTTTGTTCTATAAAAAGGGGGTGGGTAGAGGGAGCTAACCCACAGTGCCAACAGTGGTCATTTAGATGATGGTGCTATTGGTCATTTTCATTTTCCTGTTTGTGTTTTCTTTCCAATTTTCCACAGCCAACAGCTACTGTTAACATAATCAGAAAGAATGTTATTTTAAGAATCCTCATTTGAATTGATTAGAAGATATTTTAATCTTTTAGAGATTGTATGTTTCAAGAAAAAGAGTCACATTTCAATACAAGGTAGCTGGCATTCTCTCCCAGGGGAGGGGGCAAAGCTCAGTGAATACTTGGGATTTTTTCCAGTTTTCTTAAAGCCTCACAAAGTCCCAGAAGAGGAACCAGGAGCTAGATCCCTCTCCGGCCTGGCCAACTTGGTGAGCCTTTGGCAGAGGGAGGTGTAGCTGGCTGGTCTTCCCTCCCAAACCACAGAGTTTGCGAGCGACTTCTCTGGGCTCAAGGTTACTGAGATCTTTGCCCATGAAATTAAGGGGACCCAGGACCAAAACGGCTCCTCGACACTGCCCTCACGTTGGCCTCATCCATGGAATTACATCATGCATCAAATTTAAGTCATTGAGCCCTGGCCCGTGTGGCTCAATGATTAGAGCATCAGCCTGGCAATCAAAGGGTCTCGGGTTCAGTTCCCACATCCTGGGTTGCAGGTTGGATCCCTGGCCCCAATCAGGGCAGTGTGGGAGGCAACCAGTCGATGTGTCTCTCTCACATTGATCTCTCTCCTCTCTCTCCCTCTCCCCCTCCACTCTCTCTAAAAATCGATGGGAAAAAAATATACCCTGCCCTGGCCGGTTTGGCTCAGCGGTTAGAGCGTCAACCTGCGGTCTTGAGAGACCCGGGTTCGGTTCCCGCTAAGGGCGCGTACCTCGGTTGCAGTTTGTCCCCGGCCCTGGTCGGTCGTGCGGGTGGCAGCCACTCGATGTGTTCCTTTCACATCGATGTTTCTCTCTCTCTCTCTGTTCC